TCCTGTTTATAATCTATATTTTAATTTTATTATAAGAATTTGAAGAAATGCAACTCAAGTTTCAACTTGAGCAACACGAATTGAGCTTTGATTTTCTAATGGGGCTTTGCGTTCTGAAAGAATCGAGTGCACTAGAACGGGTGTGTTTTTAAATTTTGAGAGCACAAATAATATTATAGTGTCTATAGCACATAAAAATATGCATATTTTTTGATTTGATGACAAGGATTAGAAGGCAACGGGGTCTTAAGTTTCAGCTTGACTCATTTCGATTGAGTTTTTGTGCTCATTAAATGAAGACATTTGCCCGTTTGTGCCATGTGCCCTACAAACCCGTTTCCAGGTATGAGAATTGTGCTCGCATTCACGCTTTTCGCCTCGCTTTTGGCCATAGCTTTCGGGGCATCGATCAGACAAAAGTTCGTTTGAAATAGAAAATAGTTCAATATTTTTCACATCTTTAATGATTTCATTTACCCAATTTTCACTGTTTACTAGTTCATAAAATAGTGATTAGTTGCATTTTTGATTGTGAATAGCCCTTCAAATTGAAACTGAACTTTGTGTACTGAACTGAACCTGTAAAAAAACTGAACCTGAAATTCTCAAGGAAACGAGTCGACAAGGAAATTCTTCTTTGAACGTAAAAAGCAATTGCTGAACTGTTGATGAAATCTATAAAAATGTTCGATCAATTTCATGAATCATTCTTTTCTAATCAACTTTTATTCTGATCAATTATTCAATTAATCAATTATAAAAAAACCAAAAGGTACCCGAAAAAAAATCAAGTTTCAACTTTAGTGAAGTCTAAGAAATCACTACCGAGTTAATTTCAGCTGGAGCATTTTGAAATATCAATCGATTTTCGAAGAATTCTTATTAAAAAGTGACCCTTTTCCCTTCCTATTCAATGAAATGGAAATGGATTCAATGAAATGGTCGCATAATCGCTCTCCATCTGGCATCTCTAATCGATTCGCGACCTCGAAAACCCTAGCGTAGTAATTCAGAAATTCAGCTGAGTATCTTTTTGTGCTCTCAACAATTCAAGAGAAATCACGAGGCGTTCTTTGTGAGCATAATCGCTCTCCATCTGGCATAGGGCTCTAGGGTATGAGGCTTCCCTTTCAGTGAAAGGGAAGCCATGCGTTTAGAAAGAGAATTTTGATGGTCATTTTTGCTATAAAGTCAGTCGGTACTACGTTTACGGATTCAATTCCCGTGTTTCAAAATAAGTGGTAGTAAAGCAAAAAGAGAAGAGTCAGTCGGAAGAAATCTAGTCCTAAAGTCGGCCAAAGTGTTGCTTAAAGACATAAAATTTGAAGTATCAGTTTGCATCAGTTTTCAAAGTAGGTACCGTATTTTCTCTAATAGTAGTGCACCCCGACGAGCCGAGTTGGTGACTTTTTTACGGCTTCCAAAGTTTTCAGAGAAGCTCAAGACTCAAATCCCCTACAAGATCTCATCGTCAGCTACATTTTCCGACCCCACATCGATAGGTTCTGATAAGCGGTTCTCGAAATTTCAAGTGATTTAGGCGACGCTCAGGGTGCACTACTATTCGGAGAAATTCCGGTCTCAGTTTTGAGCACAAAGTAAAACAAAAAGTCAAATTTCAATCTAAACAATCACTAGATATCCAAAACAAAATCAATTGTTTTTATTTTGAAAAAACGAAACGTTTAGAGAATTTCTCCATTTCAAACTTGGCCCTAGGCAAACTTTTCCTTTTTGACGTTTTTTTTGACTAAGTTGATTGAGTCTTGTGAAAAGGTGTCAAAAAACGGAAAAGATCATGGGATTTTGGGGAGTTTTTGAAGAAAATCATTGGACAAAGATAGTTTTTAGAAATAAATTGCACAAAGCACAAAGAAACACAAAGTTGCAAGCTAGATACAGTTAATTGCCGAAATTTGGGAAATTGATAAAAATGAACAAAAAATGCCTCAAGCTCGGGAAATTCTTTGTTTTTTGAAATTTCGTTCATTGGCACGAAAAAGAAAAACGATAAAATTAGGCGTTTAGTCCTAGTTTTCAGCATAAACACACTTTGAAACACAAACTGATCGCTGAACAAGGTGAAGATCGCTGAAAAAGGATCTCGAATCTTGAAACACCGATATTTTGACGGGTTTTCCGCAAAATAAAAATTGTTTTTTATAGCTGTCACAGATCCGGAAATCGAAGAGCAAAAGATTATAGGAAAACATTTATATTTTCAATTTTCAAATATTCGTCACGGTTTTCATTCCGAGCATCGAAGTTCGATTCGAAAATTTCAAGCTCACAATACATTTTTTGAGGCAAAATGGTATGATGACTAGGTTTTGAAGGTTTCAAAAGAAAGCCTCAACTATGAAACACTCACTTTACGTGCAATTTCTTCTAGAGATTCTGCAATTTCTTCTAGGTAAAGTAAAGAAAAATTCAATTTTCTACTAGGAAATCAAAAGAAAACGAGTTGAATTTGAAAGTTAATTGCAAGAATTTCAAAAGATTTATTCATAAATGTATTAAGTTGTTTCGAAATTCCGTTGAAAAATAACACATTCACCCCTTGAACTACGGTCTTTTTCATTAGAGAGACGGAATTGACTCAATAATATATATATATGTATGTTGTATCCGATTTGGATTGAACTCACCGCGGATATCCGATTTGGATTTCAATCCAAATCGGATATCTGATTTGGATTGAGACATTATTTCACAGTAGGGTGTCATGTTTTTAAAAGGTTTTTAATCATTTCCTAGAAATTTTATAGAGGCTTAACTCTGGCAACCTAGAACAGTCCGTTAGCACCACCTTTGCCCAAAAAAGTAGTTTATTTACGCGTTTTGACATGCTTCTGTATTTCTTTTATGTCTTTATGCTGTTTACCTTATTTTACGTTGTTGTTTTACAGATGGAGTCACGCTTCTACGAGAAATTCAACAGTTTCGGTCGATTAAACTTCTGGAGAACAAAGCCTCTCACTCTATGTTGAAACTCGAAATTTTCAAGGAATAAAATAGTTGCAGAGAAGTGCCTAGGATGCGTCGAATTCAAATTCTCGAGTCTTTCAAAAGAATTTCTAAGACTAAGTGACACTAAAGAAATCAGATTTTCAAAGAAAGCAAGACTTTTCAAGAATTTCAGGAAATTACTCAATTTTTGAGCTCTAAGTTGTAAAATTGATCGTTTTTCCAAAGAAAATTCCCTTCCAGTGACATCTGTTTAAAATATTTCCCAATCCAGGGTAACAAGAAGCTTTTTATGATCAAAACAAAAGCCTTTTTCGTAAAAATTGAAAAAAGAAATAACTGAATCCACATTTATTTCACAAAAGATGCAAGGAGATCACAAAAAGAAAAGAACTTTTTTTTTTTCAATTTCCATTTTCTCACAAAAGTAAGCCGGTGTCCAAATCGGCGTAGCGTTTGTTGAAACTGAAAAGAAAAGAGATTCCATTGGTGGATCCGATCAAATCTCAGATCAGAGAATCATTTGAAAGTGAATTGATTACCTTTGGAACTGCACTAAAATAAATTGATTAAATTTCCAGGGACTTCAATCATTCACTCAATATTGAAACTTCACTTTTTTCAGTAAAGTATTTCAGCTTTTTCAATTTAATGCAGGATTACTGTAGGTATTAATCTTACAATAGTTTTAGCCTACAATAACCCTACAGAAATCCCTACAGCTACAGTAACCAGAACTGGCTGTAGGGTTACTGTAAGTCTGGGTTTAACCCACAGTAACCCTACAACCTGCTCAGCTACAGTAACCGGAATTGAAGTGTCGATTTGAAGCCGGGGTCTTTAAATTCTCCATTGTACAGCCGTTAACAGGGCTTTAATAATTCTTTGAATCTCTAATCTAAAGATTTTTTGAATTCTTTAACAATTTTACTATACTATAGGGTAGTATTTGTACTTTACTGCAAATACTATCCATTTCACTATAGAGTTACTGTGGTTCCAGCCTACAATAACCTACAATTTGCACTTACTACAAATTCAAAAGCCCCGCCAATATATGCTCCAAGTTGAAACAAGCAAGAAAAAAGCCGAAAAGCCAGAACGTTAAGCAACTTTATTTTTATTTAAATTTTCAGCAAAAGCAATTTGAGATTGAATTAAAGTGCAGAAATAGAATCAACCGCCCTGAATTTTGAAACTAAATTTTTTTTCACTTGATTAAAAGAGTTTCTCTAGATAAAGTTGTTAAGAATTTTCTGTTAGACAATCATGCACTAGATTTGAAAGAATTCCCTGAATCCTGTCTTGTTTCAAATTTAAACTTTGTTTAACAAAGGCTTTAATGATTTGAAGAAACGTCAGTGCTATGTTTCATAAAAAAGTTTCGATAAAAAAGCTTCGCACAAAAAATCAGCTTTTCAAAATCGCTTAAGAAAATGCGATGTCGAGTGTTAGATCTTCAAGACCCTCACTGGCTTTGCTTCAGTTGAAACTCCATTTTTGATAAGCCAATGTCGTTGTTAAAGAGCTACTGCTCACCTTAAACGGCTAACTTTAAACGGCTAACTTTAAACGGCTAACTTTAAACGGCTAACTTTAAACGGCTAACTTTGAAAAGAAGACTTTGTTCAATATCAGTCCAGCAAGATTTCTGCCAAATTCTCCTTTAAAAACTTGCGACGTTCTAGAGGTTCGCAAAGCCTGAAAACTCGATTAGAAATTAGATTCTCAAAAAGATATTGTAAACGCACTTTCCCTGGTGCACTTGATTCTTCATTCATAAATATAAATGTTAAAATCAATTTTCTTCTACTTATTTAATTTCTATGTTTCAAATTAAAACGAATTAAAATGAAAAACTGGATTATAATGACGACTCTGGGCCATACCATACCACAAGCACCAAGCACCTAAAGATATTCAGTTATTCAATTATTCAATTAATACAAGATGATTCCAGTTATTTATCTGACTAGCTGAAAAGAAAAGTATTCAATCAATTAACTACGAAATAAGTTGGAAGACAATTGCTGATGACAAGTGTTGATGTGGATGAATTCGTGCAAAAGGGATTAGATGAGGCCGAGAAAGAATTTGAGGCTGAATCGGCGAAAAGGGTTGATTTAATGACTTACGATTAAATCATCTTTGATCATTCAGAACGCTCAACGTGAATTGGAAGTCGTTTCTGCACAACGCTATTGGATTGCCATGGGAACTAGGACCGATATTGTTTCTGATAAGGTAAATATTATTTATGATACAAATTCAATCCATTTTTAGCTTCGCCATTTGTTCCCGGCTAGTGTATCGGCTCGTCTCATCTCAGAAACGCTGAACGATAAGAAATCGACATTCTCGATGAAAGAAAAGGTGCGAATAAATCATAGATTTAACTTTTTAACTATAGTGAAAATTAAAATTTAGATCAAATCCTGGGAGTCGTTGGACGAGGCGATGATCGGCAGCTTGCTGCTTTTGGCTGGTGAACTCATTCGATCGCATAATATGGGCACGACGATGCTGAACGCGGAACCGCTTCTCCAAGGATGTCTCAACGTTTTGAGCACTAATGCGACGAGTCGGGTTGGTTTTTGGAGCTTGCTGACTAATCAAACTCAATGCTGTTAACTATAATGATAAATTTCAGCGAGACAGCGAAGAGAAACCACCTGAGGCAACACCACGACGGCGTCGCGTTCGACTGATGTCGCTGAGTGGACGGCCGAAGGGAAGCGATGCTTTATTGGTGATTGGATGATTCATTTGGATTGTTTAAGGTGGAAATTTTAGGTCTGTACTCTCACTTGTGTGCAACGGATTGTCGACAAATTTGCATCTTTTGTTGCGCCACACTTCACGGCGATTCTCCTGCATTTCTCACGGCTTTCTCACGGATTCAATTTTCATGCAAAACTTATCAAAATTTTGATTTTTGAGTCGAATTTTGAGAGTCGAGTTTCAAGTTTGGGGAATAAATGTGTTAAACTGCGTTTGGAATAGCTGTTAGAGTTCTGGCGTCACCCTCGAATTTCAATTCTTTTTAAGCTTCAAATTTCAATATTTTCTGGTAAATATTATCAACTTTTAATCTTTTTAAACTTGAAAATATTCAATTTGCTTTTAAAACCCTTTTCCAGGTATGAGAATTGTGCTCGCATTCACGCTTTTCGCCTCGCTTTTGGCCATAGCTTTCGGGACATCGATCAGACGAAAAAGTGAGAGCCGGGTGTACCGAGGAAAAGCTATTAAAAACACAGTTTAGCACATGTATTGCCCAAACTTGAAACACGACTCTCAAAATTTAACTCAAAAATCAAAATTTCGATAGGTTTTGCATGAAAATTGAATCGTTTCATTTTGAAAACAAAAAAGTTGGCACTTAAAAACTGTGTTTCAAAGCCGATTCAGTACAGTAAAGCTTCGTTAATTTAATTCCGCTGCGTTTGATCGGTATTTTAATGTTTAGAAAATTGATACAAGTAAAATCGAGAAGAACTTCGGACCTTCGGGCAAACAAAAAAAATCATGTTTCAATTTGAATGATATGGTTTGCTTTGAGAGCATGTCAATTCGTCCTTGGATGTTCAAAAAATCTGTTTTTTCCTTTGCGTACTTCCTTTGAAAAACAACAAATTCACCAATTAACCTAGGGTTTTTACTGTTGAATTTCCGATCTTCTTAAGTGAATTCCGTCTTTCTAATGAAATGAAAAAGGCCGTAGTTCAATGGGTGTATTTGGGTGTGTTTTGAGTGGTGTCCCGGGTAATTATTGTGACTTTGTTTTGTCACTATTCAACTGAATAATACATATATATATATATATATTATTCAGTGAATTCCGTCTCTCTAATGAAAAAGACCGTAGTTCAATGGGTGAATTTGTTATTTTTCAACGGAAGTACGAAGAGAAACGAAAAAAAAACTTTCTAAATACGTTTATGAATAAATCTTTTGAAAGCTTGCAATTAACTTTCAAATTTACTCGTTTTCTTTTGATTTCCTAGTAGAAAATTGAATTTTTCTTTACCTTACCTTGATCTCTAGAAGGAATTGCACGTAAAGTGAGTGTTTCATAGGTGAGGCTTTCTTTTGAAACCTTCAGAACCTAGGCATCATACCATTTTGCCTCAAAGCATGCGTCGAGATCTTGAAATTTTCGAATCGAACTTCGATGCTCGGAATGAAAACCGTGACGAATTATTTGAAAATTGAAAATTCATTGGTTAAATTAAATGAAAATTGGTTGATCAGTAAACGGTTCTCGACATCGTTGATGAATATGCCGAATGATGACGAGGTGAGCGAAGGAGATTCGATATGAGGTGAACTGAAAAACTTCTCTTCATTCAAATTCGTTTGTAATTTTATCAAGATCCTTTTGGAAAATTGAAAAAAAAAAAGATCATTGCCAAATGAAGCCGAAAACAGCGTGGCTTACCACTTTTCTTTTCTCTTCAAGATTTAAACGAAAACTGTTGCATATTGGGGTATTGTTGTTCTAAATCTAATCCAGCTACACAACACCACTGTTAAAGGTATATTTATTTGAAACGAATAATGAATTACAACACAATGGAGGAAATTTTTATCCCTAGTTATCCCTATTACGCAAATGTTGTTAAAAACCCATAATAATGGGAAAAAGAATCAATCTTTCTAGCCGTCGGGATCGAACCCTTGACCCTCCGACTAGGAGACAAGACTCCTATCCAGTCGGCTAAAGGTATACAACTTTTAGTGGGGTTCAATTTGAGCCCAATTTTTTGCTTTTACACATAAAAATTTGGCATTATTGAAAATGAATCCATTAAAAAACCGCACTGAATTAATCTCAAGAAAATCGTTTGCTTAGGAGAAAGCTTGAAACATGAAATTTTACTTGTAAACAAAGTTTAATTTTTCAAAGGGTTCGGCTTGAGTTTAAGCTTTTCAACGGTAATAACAGTACAAGCCTTAGGATTTTCACCGTAAAATTGATGTTTTTTCAAGGTAAACTACACAAAACGTAACGACTCAGGCTCAAGCACGCAAAACATTTTCATTTTTTACTAGTTCCACTCACTTATAAGCCTTAAACAGCTCAAGTTTTATTGTTATCTATTAATATTTTATTTTGTCAATAATATTTTAATAATATTTTATTTTCCAACTCACAATGTCAATAATCTCGACGTATCCATTGTGTTTCGCGGCCAAATCCTCCCCGGATCGTACGGCCAGAAGATGCAAAAAATTCGTGATGAAGCGACACGCCAACTCGTTGATCACAATCGGAATGAAAGCTCTCGAATTAAAAGTTTCAAATTTAAAAAATATTGTTCAATTCGAAACCATTGGTAAATTAAAATTTTCTTTCTCTAGCTGAGCCCCCTAACTTTGAAACTCAACTTTTTAAGGTGATATTTTTACTCGAACCCTTACAAAGGCTCAGCTTTCTGTGTTCCGATAGCAAGCTTCTAAATGTTGGCCATATTTCGAAGTAGAAACTTGTTAATATTATCTCATTTTCAAAGGGAACTTATACCTAATTGTTCAAGAAGAAAAAAAGAATAAAACTAGCATTTTTTATTATTACTCTCGATTGAAAACATGAAAACAGAAAGAATTTGATGTTTTCAATCGAGAGTTTCAAAATGCGATATGTTGGACTGATGCATTCTCAGATATCAAATGATCGAAATAAGTCAAAGTAAGAAATACCAACAACTCCGTAAACTTGTAAACTAATTAGGGAAGTATTTTTTTTGAAAAACTCTTTAAACTTTAAAGGAGAATTTTCAGGATTCAGGGAATTCTTTCAAATCCAGTGCATGATTGTCTAACAGAAAATTCTTAACAACTTTATCTAGAGAAACTCTTTTAATCAACTGAAAAAAAATCAAGTTTCAAAATGCAGGGCGGCTGATTCTATTAGAGACTTGCAAAAGAAACTGCGGATTATAACCAACATTTGAAGTAGTATGATAATTGCTAGTATGATCGTGAGAAAATGATCCTGAAACTTGAAACATTGAATATCGAAAAACTTCGGTCTATGCAACGGGTGGCCGCAGCTGTGCACTGCAGGCGTTTCTCATTTTTGTAACGGTTTGTTTTCTCGAATCAAAAAACAAGAGTTGTATTTCAAATTCTTCCGAAACACAAAGACAAAGACAAAGTCAAACATTTCCTTTATCTAACATTTAACTTATTTCGTAGTTAATTGATTGAATACTTTTCTTTTCAGCTAGTCAGATAAATAACTGGAATCATCTTGTATTAATTGAATAATTGAATAACTGAATATCTTTAGGTGCTTGGTGCTTGTGGTATGGCATGGCCCAGAGGCCCAGGCATGGCCCCCCATCATTATAATCCAGTTTTTCATTTTAATTCGTTTTAATTTGAAACATAGAAATTAAATAAGTAGAAGAAAATTGATTTTAACGTTTATATTTATGAATGAAGAATCAAGTGCACCAGGGAAAGTGCGTTTACAATATCTTTTTGAGAATCTAATTTCTAATCGAGTTTTCAGGCTTTGAGAACCTCTAGAACGTCGCAAGTTTTTAAAGGAGAATTTGGCAGAAATCTTCTTTTCAAAGTTAGCCGTTTAAAGTTAGCCGTTTAAGGTGAGCAGTAGCTCTTTAACAACGACATTGGCTTATCAAAAATGGAGTTTCAACTGAAGCAAAGTCAGTGAGGGTCTTGAAGATCTAACACTCGACATCTCATTTTCTTAAGCGATTTTGAAAAGCTGATTTTTGTGTGAAGCTTTTTTATCGAAACTTTTTTATGAAACATAGCACTGACGTTTCTTCAAATCATTAAAGCCTTTGTTAAACAAAGTTTAAATTTGAAACAAGACAGGATTCAGGGAATTCTTTCAAATCTAGTGCATGATTGTCTAACAGAAAATTCTTAACAACTTTATCTAGAGAAACTCTTTTAATCAAGTGAAAAAAAATTTAGTTTCAAAATTCAGGGCGGTTGATTCTATTTCTGCACTTTAATTAGCTTCTGAAACTGCTTTTGCTGAAAATTTAAATAAAAATAAAGTTGCTTAACGTTCTGGCTTTTTGGCTTTTTTCTTGCTTGTTTCAACTTTCGATATATTGGCGGGGCTTTCGAATTTGTAGTGAGTGCAAATTGTAGGTTATTGTAGGCTGGAACCACAGTAACTCTATAGTGAAATGGATAGTATTTGAAGTAAAGTACAAATACTACCCTATAGTATAGTAAAATTGTTAAAGAATTCAAAAAATCTTTAGATTAGAGATTCAAAGAATTATTAAAGCCCTGTTAACGGCTGTACAATGGAGAATTTAAAGACCCCGGCTTCAAATCGACACTACAATTCCGGTTACTGTAGCTGAGCAGGTTGTAGGGTTACTGTAGGTTAAACCCAGACTTACAGTAACCCTACAGCCAGTTCTGGTTACTGTAGCTGCAGGGATTTCTGTAGGGTTATTGTAGGCTAAAACTATTGTAAGATTAATACCTACAGTAATCCTGCATTAAATTGAAAAAGCTGAAATACTTTACTGAAAAAAGTGAAGTTTCAATATTGAGTGAATGATTGAAGTCCCTGGAAATTTAATCAATTTATTTTAGTGGAGTTCCAAAGGTAATCAATTCACTTTCAAATGATTCTCTGATCTGAGATTTGATCGGATCCACCAATGGAATCTCTTTTCTTTTCAGTTTCAACAAACGCTACGCCGATTTGGACACCGGCTTACTTTTGTGAGAAAATGGAAATTGAAAAAAAAAGTTCTTTTCTTTTTGCGATCTCCTTGCATCTTTTGTGAAATAAATGTGGATTCAGTTATTTCTTTTTTCAATTTTTACGAAAAAGGCTTTTGTTTTGATCATAAGAAAGCTTCTTGTTACCCTGGATTGGGGAATATTTTAAACAGATGTCACTGGAAGGGAATTTTCTTTGGAAAAACGATCAATTTTACAACCAAGAGCTCAAAAATTGAGTAATTTCCTGAAATTCTTGAAAAGTCTTGCTTTCTTTGAAAATCTGATTTCTTTAGTGTCACTTAGTCTTAGAAATTCTTTTGAAAGACTCGAGAATTTGAATTCGACGCATCCTAGGCACTCTAGGCCCTTCTCAGCAACTATTTTATTCCTTGAAAATTTCGAGTTTCAACATAGAGTGAGAGGCTTTGTTCTCCAGAAGTTTAATCGACCGAAACTGTTGAATTTCTCGTAGAAGCGTGACTCCATCTGTAAAACAACAACGTAAAATAAGGTAAACAGCATAAAGACATAAAAGAAATACAGAAGCATGTCAAAACGCGTAAATAAACTACTTTTTTGGGCAAAGGTGGTGCTAACGGACTGTTCTAGGTTGCCAGAGTTAAGCCTCTATAAAATTTCTAGGAAATGATTAAAAACCTTTTAAAAACATGACACCCTACTGTGAAATAATGTCTCAATCCAAATCAGATATCCGATTTGGATTGAAATCCAAATCGGATATCCGCGGTGAGTTCAATCCAAATCGGATACAACATATATATATATATATATTATTGAGTCAATTCCGTCTCTCTAATGAAAAAGACCGTAGTTCAAGGGGTGAATGTGTTATTTTTCAACGGAATTTCGAAACAACTTAATACATTTATGAATAAATCTTTTGAAATTCTTGCAATTAACTTTCAAATTCAACTCGTTTTCTTTTGATTTCCTAGTAGAAAATTGAATTTTTCTTTACTTTACCTAGAAGAAATTGCAGAATCTCTAGAAGAAATTGCACGTAAAGTGAGTGTTTCATAGTTGAGGCTTTCTTTTGAAACCTTCAAAACCCAATCATCATACAATTTTACCTCAAAAAAAATGCATTGAGATCTCGAAATTTTCGAATGCAACTTTAATCTGGAAATGAAAACCGTGACGAATCATTTGAAAATTGAAAATATAAATGTTTTCCTATAATCTTTTGCTCTTCGATTTCCGGATCTGTGACAGCTATAAAAAACAATTTTTATTTTGCGGAAAACCCGTCAAAATATCGGTGTTTCAAGATTCGAGATCCTTTTTCAGCGATCTTCACCTTTCAGTTTGTGTTTCAAAGTGTGTTTATGCTGAAAACTAGGACTAAACGCCTAATTTTATCGTTTTTCTTTTTCGTGCCAATGAACGAAATTTCAAAAAAACAAAGAATTTCCCGAGCTTGAGGCATTTTTTGTTCATTTTTATCAATTTCCCAAATTTCGGCAATTAACTGTATCTAGCTTGCAACTTTGTGTTTCTTTCAATCAAGAACTGGAATTTGTTACTCGAACTCGACGCTGTGGATTACGGTTTTGTCTGAAATGGAGGCATTTTAGAAAAAAGGATTAGCTCAGCCAAACCCGAACCATTGTTTCCTTTTCACAATCCAGAAACGACAACACCCCGTTGGCTTTGTCGCTCCTCTTCCACCAACAAAAAGGACAAAAGGTTTTCTGGTGAAAGTGTTGATAGATCGGCCGGGGAAAACAAACAACGGCATTGGGATCTGTTCCCGCCAACGCCAACAGAATCTGTTCCCGCCAATCATGCTAGCCAACAGATCCCTCCACCATTTTTTGCCAATTGTACATTTCTCACACCGTTTCACAATTGTACATTCCTCTTTTTGTAATTTGTACTCTCAAAATTTGTCGACGCACTTTCCCTGGTGCACTTGATTCTTCATTTTTAAATATAAACGTTAAAATCAAATGTCTTTTACTTATTTAATTTCTATGTTTCAAATCAAAGGTAATTAAAATGAAAAACTGAATTATAATTACTACCTTTGGCTTGGCGACTTTTGATCATCATATAAATCTTTTTGTTTCAATTTAAACCGCCACTTTGAGATAGACCAAAAGCTAATGCCGGGCGGATCGAATTAGCAAAAATAACGATAAAAGAATGTATTTTTGAGGATCCAGAAGCTATTGCAGTAAGTTGCTGCTGTTTATTATCAGGATGAAGTTATCAAGTTGCAAACTTTTCAATTAGAAACAGGAAAATCTTTGATTAATAAACTCCATTCAATCAACCCAACAACTCCTTCGCAAATTCACTTTCTTCTCGATTGGTTAAAGGATATTGAATTTGGTGACTTTGCTCATCCAGTACGATCATCTGCCACTCATTTTTTCGATCTATCTGAATAAACTAATAGATTCTTTTATATCTTACGTTTTTTGACGTTTTTCAATTTGGCCGTAAAAAACTTAACACAAAAAATCTGGCAATTTATTTCTAAAAACTATCTTTGTCCAATGATTTTCTTCAAAAACTCCCCAAAATCCCATGATCTTTTCCGTTTTTTGACACCTTTTCACAAGACTCAATCAACTTAGTCAAAAAAAACGTCAAAAAGGAAAAGTTTGCCTAGGGCCAAGTTTGAAATGGAGAAATTCGCTAAACGTTTCGTTTTTTCAAAATAAAAACAATTGATTTTGTTTTGGATATCAAGTGATTGTTTAGATTGAAATTTGACTTTTTGTTTTACTTTGTGCTCAAAACTGATATCCTATTTTCTCCGAATAGTAGTGCACCCTGAGCGTCGCCTAAATTGCTCGAAATCTCGGGAAGCGCTTATCAGAACCTATCGATGTGGGGTCGGAAAATGTAGCTGACGATGAGATCTTGTGGGGGATTTGAGTCTTGAGCTTCTCTGAAAACTTTGGAAGCCGTAAAAAAGTCACGAACCCGGCTCGTCGGGGTGCACTACTATTAGAGAAAATACGGTACCTACTTTGAAAACTGATGCAAACTGATACTTCAAATTTTATGTCTTTAAGCAACACTTTGGCCGACTTTAGGACTAGATTTCTTCCGACTGACTCTTCTCTTTTTTGCTTTACTACCACTATTTTGAAACACGGGAATTGAATCCGTAAACGTAGTACTGACTGACTTTATAGCAAAAATGACCATCAAAATTCTCTTTCTAGACGCATGGCTTCCCTTTCACTGAAAGGGAAGCCTCATACCCTAGAGCCCCATGCCAGATGGAGAGCGATTATGCGATCGCACAAAGAACACCTCGTGATTTCTCTTTTGAATTGTTGATAGCACAAAAGAGATACTCAGCTGAATTTCTGAATTTCTACGCTAGGGTTTTCGAGGTCGCGAATCGATTAGAGATGCCAGATGGAGAGCGATTATGCGACCATTTCATTGAATCCATTTCCATTTCATTGAATAGGAAGGGAAAAGGGTCACTTTTTAATAAGAATTCTTCGAAAATCGATTGATATCTCTTATTTGCCCAAGGCTATCTCTTTTTGCCAATTGCTTTTTGTTTGCCCCTAGCAAGAGGTCAAGAAGTGCTCGTTTTGCTGCTATTGCCGTCTCATTTCCCCATCTTCTCTCATTTTTACCGCTCTTCTTGATCTCCATCTCTTTTTCTCTCTTGATGACTAACATCCATTACTCATTTCCATTCCAATTATTCAAGAATTTCATGTTTTTCTTAGTATTGAGTCATCTTTCTTAGTCATTTACAAATCTTTTTTCAAATCAGATCCATTTTAAATCCATTTATTGAATTCTTGCATAGAGCAATTCCCTCGAAGCTTTCTTTTCCTTTTGACCAGTATAATATTGTTTAGATTTAGTGTACTTTAAGTGCACAAACGTGTAAACACACTCCTTCTAATGCACTTGATTAGCTAAAAGCATTGAGCATCTTAACATTCAATTCACCCTGTTCAAGTTGAAACTAGAAATACACTTTGTTAGCTTTATAGCTTTTATAATTTAACACTTTTAATATTATGTCATTTGAATGTTTCCCACTACTCTACAAGTACTTTAAAGTGTTCTTTGTGTTCGCAAAATGTGTAAACACACATCTCCTAGCGCTTTATTTATTTATTTAGCGGTTTATTTTTACTGAATGGCAAGAAAGCATCAACTAAAGCTCTCGTAGCCAAAGAAGTGCTTAACTCTGATTTGTTTTGTTTAGTTCTGTTTATTTTGTCACAATCAATTTATTTAATTTGCTTTAATAGTGATGCTAAGTTCAAAAAAGTCGAATCGAAGTTCAAAAAATCATAATCAATTCATTCATTTATAGTACAATCCGATCATTGAATCGTTTTCTTTTCAATTTTTGTGAAAGATATTTGAAATTGTTGTAGGAATGGAAGAGTCAAGCCTTTCCCTATCCTTTACACCCTTTTAAATACTCATTTCAAGGTCTTTTCAAGGTCTTTTCACAGATCTTTCCAGATCTTTTCAGATCTTTCCCTCCTTTCCCATCTCATGACTCACTTTTGCGTCTAGTTTCTTGCTAAAACCTTGCTTTTCTTTGCCGCATTGAGTGAAAAGAATGAGATTTTTGTGGCGTAATCAATGACACATTCATCAAGTAACTTCTTCGTTTTTACTTTAAAATACAGTAAACTCAGAATTTCTTTATAAATTTAATCAATTTATGTCATTGTGTCTGTCACTTTTCAAAACATTCTTTATCTTTGAATTTCCTTGATTTTCCCCTTGAAATTCTAGATCTATTTAAACGTTAAACAATTTTGTTACTTAAACAGCAACCAAACTCTGAGAGAAGAATGCATTGTGAAATCCCTTTACATCACTTTTTCCATCACCATTTCTCAAAAGTGATGATCAAAATTCGGGGAATGATCCTTGAAATGAATGCCAAATTTCTTTCGTGAAATCTTTTCTCAATCATCATTCATTTTACAATTCTCCTTTCAACCATAAAACTCAACTTTGATTCCAGAATGAGACACCTATTGTTTTTGTCGTTTCTCTTATTGACGATCGTTCCTTCGACGAACGCCGACTGGTGGGACTCATTCACTGACAAAGTCGCCAACGCTTTCACTGCGGTCTGTTTTTTGACGAAATCTCAATGGTACTGTAAGCATACATGTCTTGCTACAGTATTTCAATCAAACCGCAACACTGAATATGTTTTCATTTTCACTTCATTGGGAGTTTGAGAGGTGTTCAGTCTTCACAGATGAATCCGGAATACTGTAATAGGCCAAGGAGCTGGTAAGGAGCTCCCATTATCAGTGGTGCACTCGGAAATCATAGTTTCAATCTATATGAAGTGAGGCGAAGAAAGATACTCATTAATTGCTAATTAAACCGTTCGCCAATTAAATTGCGGAACCAATGGTAAAAATAATGCAAAGGATAACTAAAAATTTGATGAATTTGACTGATGGCTAGCTTTACCACTGAATAAACTGATGGCTAGCTTTACCACAGTGTTCCCTTAAATTTGAAACTCATTTTTTCTCATTGAATACATCGTTGTAACTTGCTGAATCGCTACTCTAGAATTAGCATAGAATTAACTTTTCCATGTTTCAAAGTAAAGTTAGAATAGAAAACTAAACCCTAATATAATAATTTTTTAGCCTATTCCAAAATCTAAATAATTTTGAATAAATTACCGTAATCTTTTCTTCCAGAATTTTCCTTTCTACTTAATTTTGAATTTTTGAACTTTTTTTTCCATTTCATTTTGATTCCTCGATTTTTGAGTTCAAAGTAGAACGGACGAAATTTGAAGGAAAGATGACGGTAACTTTTAAAGGAAAGATTAAGGTAGATTACGGGAGATTACGGTAATCTGTAGGAAAGATTACGGTAATCGATCTTTTAGAAAGGGCAGTGCTTATCAGGCTGCTGTTTTGAAGAAATTTTGAGTGTCTCAAAAAAGCGCCTTCTGAATGGCCATTAAGTTCATTAACTAGTCCATATGCTGTTAAACTTGAAACGCAAAGTTTTTTGCTGCTAAACCTTTAAGCGAAATTCTTATTTTTCAAAGAAAAGTATAAAGAGAAAGCTAAGCATTAGTTTCTGGTTTTTGAAACATTAAATTTTCTGTAGACGATCTTGATCTTGAAGCTCTAGTAGATTCTTGACGTTATCTGTGCTACCCAGATATTACACTATATCGTGTTGCTTTTTACCGGTCCTTTTCGTGTTTATTTATATGAATTCATGTGTATTAATCTTAAATCTAGCGCACTTTATTTCAGTTCTTGAATCTATGTCCGATTTAGATTTCCGTCCGATTTAGATTCAATCTAAATCGGACGTCCGATTTAGATTACAGTCTATATCGGACGTCCGATTTAGACTCAATCTAAATCGGACGTCTTATATAGATTGAACAATAATATAAACATGTTTAATATATGTTCTTAAGCGTTTTCTGTAGTTTTCTGCATTTTTCAAAGGTCTGTTATTGTCTTTTTCTGAAAAGAAAACCCAACTATGAAATAATCAATAAAAGACCTTTGAAAATGCAGAAAACTACAGAAAACGCTTAAGAACATATACTAAACATGTTTATATTATTGTTCAATCTATATAAGATTTAGATTGAATCTAAATCGGACGTCCGATATAGACTGTAATCTAAATCGGACGTCCGCGATAAGTCCAATCTAAATCGGACGGAAATCTAAATCGGACACAACATATATATCTATCTATATATAATTTCCAAATGATTTGCAGGCGGGCGAGTGGTGGAAAAACGATGCATCGCCAAAAGTGCGCGAGACATTTGACTCAACGAAAGAGAAGCTGAAAGATCCCGAATTTCACAAAGGCTACATGGAGTGGATTAAAGAGGTGAGGAGAAGGAGGAGAAGGGGAAATGTTAAAAATTCATATTCCTTTTATTTCTAACTCGTTTTAGCCGATATTATACCAATTTTTGAACAAGCATTTAGCGGGGAAAAATTGAGTTTCAACTTTGTTAAGGTTGCTCGAAAGCTAGAAAACTCGATTTTGGAAAAAGCTTCAATGAAATTTCAATGTTTCAAAAAAATGTAAGGTAGCTAACTATGAGCATTTATAATGAAATCGTAAGGCTTTTGCTTTCTACCTTGTTTAAATATTATTTTACGAAATCAAGTTTCTCTTGAAAGCCGATTTGAAAAGCTGTGTTTCAATTACACTTAGGTTCTTTGATTTTCGGGTAATTTAATTCAAAGTTGCCATCCAATAATTTCACTGATCTTGTTTATCCATCAACTTCAAACGTACTCACTACAGTTCACCGGAATAAAGAAATATTCAGCTAAAAAGATCTCTTTCGAGCTCTTCACTTGAGACTAAAGATGTTCAATTTTATCACCTGAATGCTGTAAGGAGACAGGCGACAAAATCTGAGTACTAACCGAGAAAATGTTGCAATACTCAGCTTCTTCATAATCTACCTTCAAAATTCAAAACCTTGAGAACATTAGAGATCGAAGCTCTTTAGTGACAAGAAGTTTTCATTGGCGAACTCGGCGAAAATCGAGGCTCTTAAACTAGACTCTTAAATTCTTACATCTCAGGAAACTTTTTTGAGTTTTCGGAGTGAATCGTTTCGAAGACGAGCTTCAAAAAAACTTTCCCAAGAATTGTAAATCGCGAAGCTTTTAGTTTAAATACTTTGAAAAATCAGAGTTTCAATGTAACTGGACTTCTTTGATTTCTGAATTAGCATTGGAGCATTGAAAAGCTTGTTTCAAAGTTTTCCCGATCAAAATCAAATATTAAGCACTAATGCACCTGGAGGATTGTATGAAAAGGATGCAAAGTTGTTAGTTTGTTGCCGTTGACGAATCTTTTTTGACGAAAGGCACTCATTTCCCGTTCCCGAAAGGCCGTTGACGAAAGGCATTCATTTCAGATGAACTACCGTAATCCAGTCGCCATTTTTCATCGCGATCAGCCCAATTTCTATCATTGATTGAGCCTTGTGATTCCCTTTATCGAATGTGATCAAAATTGGGCTCATCGAATGAAAAATAGCAACTGGATTACGGTATTCTTGCTGAAATGGCTGAAATGGGTGCATTTTAGAAAATCGTTTAGCCTAGAGGCCTAGAGCCTAGAGTATTTAGCGTTTAGCCTAGAGTTGTTTAGCCTAGAGCCTTGCTAACAATTTTATCCGACTATTGAAAGACTTCAGATTTACCAAGCGCACAACTATTCAGAAGGAATCTTTCAGAAGGCGATCGCTGCCAAAGAGTTCGCCGATGCCGAGATCATGCCACATGTCAAGGAGATCTATCAAGCAGCCGAAGATGCCGTCAAACAGGTGAAATCCCTTGGCTAATCTCTTATTCTTAGAGTGTAGCTTTGGAGGGTACTTTGCGCCCAAAAAGCTTGTAAACATTCCCTTTCTGGCGCACTCGATTCTTCCATTTCCCCTCGCAGCAACGATGGGAAATGGGGAAATTTGAGTGAGCCAGATTTGAGTGAAAAAATAAAGTCTGGCTTTTAGTGAAGTGCTTTGAAACATCAAATTTTAAATCCTTTTTAGCTCTACAGTATCCCTAGATGATTGAATATCTTTTAAATTCATTCCCCGAATCTAAAGATATTCAGTCAAAGCTGAATACTTTTTCCGGGAGATAAGGAAACTTTGGAGATTCACAGGGATTCTCAGTGCACCAGAGGGGTGCGTTTACGCTGTGCCTTGCTCTTTTTGGTGTACTTTGGTGGCTCCAAAAAATGCGAAACACAATCCGTATGGTGCATTCGATTCTTATTTTTGTGCGCGCCAAAGCTCAAGTATTAAACAAATGCATGCTCGTTTCGCCTTGTTCAAATTGAAACTTGAGACTCAATAGGCATTAGGGTGTACTTTGTGCGCTAAAATTGTAAACAAATCCCCTTCTGGCGCAGTGAATTCAATTATTATTTAGTAGTTTAAGATGTTTAATCCTAAGAAAAACCCAAAATAAACAAATTTTCCTGATTTCCAGGTGAAAGACGAAGACATGCCGGTACAAAAGAATCAAAACGACTCGAAAAAATGAATTTTTCTCAATTTTTAAACAATTTAATCCTCAAAAAGCTTTAATTCTTGTGTTTTTTTGTAAATTTTTCAATTTTTCAATTTTATTCAAAAATTTCTGTGTTAATTTATTCGTTTTTTGCATATTTTGACTCAACAAAAGAGGCCTTTTACTTGAAATAAAAAAAGGGTAGCTTTAATTTAACTTTTCTAGACCAAAAATGGTTCAATTTTTTTGAGTTTTATTTTGAAATGATTGAAACGATTGAAACTGTGAAATCATATGAATAAAGCTTTGCTTTAGATCAACTTTCCGAAGTTCAGCTTTCTTGTGAATTCACCTTCCCCAAGGCCACTTGACTTCGCCGACTTTGAAACACTGAATTTTTCACTGAAACAAATTGGCTTTGTTTCTGAAAAGATTACGAAAAGCGCTTCTTTTTAAAGTTAGAATAATTTTAAACGCTTTACAAAATCTTTTGATAATTTTTGAGGCATTAGGTTTTTTGAATTCTGCTTAAACTTGTCTCACTTTGAAACATGCTTCTTTTTGGTTGAGTAAAGACTCGAAGAATTCCTTTGAAATAGGTCTAAAATAGTATATCTTGATTTACTTATTGATTTACTTTTTAAAATACTTCAAATTTACTTCTTATCTACTTTTTCGCAAAAATCCCCATAACTAAGGGGAAGTTATAGCGAAAAAAAATTGGGATAAACTCGAAAAAGGCGCAAAATGTTGGTTTGCCCTCAATTTAGCGCTTTTGCACTAAAATCCTCTACCAAAAATCCGTTTTTGAAACTGAAAATGCCAATTATTTTCGCCGATGATGACAAATCTATTAAAATCAGCTTATTTTTTGGGGTTTGAGTTTACTTCGCGACTCTTTTTTTTATTCTTTTTTATTCACTTATTCACAGGTCATTAGTCTCACTCTACCGGTTTCATTCGATCTATTGAGTCATTTCTTGTTATTCTTCTCCTCATACATTTACTCGTAGTTGGTAGTGATCATTTAGAAATGTTTGCATTTAAAACAAGGCGCTGAAAAGCGAGGTAATGTAGCGGGTACTTTGGTAGACTATTTATTAGTCATTTATTATTTATTATTTATTATTATTCAAACTTTTTACAAATTTATCATAGTGTTTCACGTTTTTTTAACAATACAATAGTGTTGCTTTTGATTACAAAAAGGTTACAGTGCTCAATAGTGATCTTTTTCACTAATTGAAAAGGCTTGACTTCAAGTTTATCCGCAATTCGATGCTCTAAAGACAAAATTCCGGATTTTTTTTGCTTTAAAAGGCAAACATTGCACTTTTCTTTACAATATTTATTGATGTGCACATTAGATTTCCCAATTTTCAGCCTAAAAAATGAAATTCCCCGTCGTTTTCCTCGTTTTCGTCACACTGCTCGCCGGCCATTTTTTTTGGTCCTCTAACCATCAATCTAGATATTGAAAATTCAATTTTTAGTCCGGTTTTCATAGAAAAATTCTTCGATTTTCTATAATATTTTTCAATTTTTCCCTTTTCTCACTTCTAAATTAGAATTTTATTTTAATGTTTCAAAATTAGGGTTACCAAAATAGAAAACTCGATTCCAATGAGTGGATGTAGGAATCCAAATGGTGACCCTTCTATTTTCTATAATATGCTCTCTCGCTTTCTCTCGCTCGACACAACGTAGCCGTTGTTGTTGTTTGTCGTAGTCGAGGATTTCATTTGCTCTTTTTGCTTTGATTACAAAAGGTTACAGTGCTCATAGTGATCTTTTTTACTAATTGAAAAGGCTTGACTTCAAGTTTATCCGCAATTCGATGCTCTAAAGACAAAATTCCGGATTTTTTTTGCGTCAAAAGGCAAACATTGCACTTTTCTTTACAATATTTATTGATGTGCACATTAGATTTCCCAATTTTCAGCTTAAAAAATGAAATTCCCCGTCGTTTTCCTCGTTTTCGTCACACTGCTCGCCGGTCAGGCACAAGGGAATTTCCTCGGCGACTGGTGGGATAAGGTGAGTTTTGGATACAAATAACAAGGGAATTTCAACCGGATGTGGTGGCCAAATGGCTCAAGCCATATACTCGCAATTTTGTCAGTACATGGCTTTCTCTCGCTCTCTTGCTCGACACAACGTAACTGTCATTGTTGTTTGTCGTAGTCGACGTAGAATTTTGCGCTGATTCCTGATCTGTTTCCCGTTTCTGCTATGAAGCACTCTGTCAAAAGTTATAAGCCTGCAAAGTTTTGTTTAAAAATCATTTCTCGAGTTTATACGCGGATTTTCCACAGCCTCTAGGAAACAGTAGTGGCCGAGTGGTAGTCGTCTAGAGTGCAAGGAAAACAGCCCGGGGTTCGGGTCCGCAGTTCAGATTTTATTGGCTTTTTTAGAGGTAATTGATCTCCATTTTAAATAAAAGTCTTTTTCAAACTACTTCTCATATAAACGTGGACTTTTAACTATTAACTATGAACTTAAAACTTAAACTGGCATTAATCTTTGACCTCTTTGACCAAATTTGGTTCCTTATCTCTTTAAATTGGGTTCCCTATATCTTTAAATTTTAATCTTAAAAGTGCTGCCTGTATACTTTGTGCTCTCAAAATCTGTAAACGCACCCTCTCTAGTGGACGCGATTCGTCATTTTTCTAGACAATTTTGTCTATCCAGTTTCTATGTTTCAAATTTAGCCGGGTTAGAATGGAAAATTGAGCCCTAATGATCTTTAGAAGGGTTTTTAGATATCAACACATTTTCAATATTTAAAACTCAATATTACTTTTAAAATATAGACCAAATGTGGTTGGATATTTGATTTTTATCCTTTTTAATATCTAAAATACACTTGCAGGTCACCGGCGCCGCCCAATCCGCCGAACAAACCGTCGGTGATGCGGCGAATACGGTAATGATTAAAAAAGTGTTTTCGTTACTGTCACTAAACACAATTAATACAGCAAACTATAAGCTAAATTTCACTAGGATACTGTAATCATTTAATCTATTCAATTCAAAATGACAAATTCCCAGGTCGGAGACGCCGCGTCGAACGCCTATGATAAAGTGGGGCAAGCGATGGGTGAGGTGAGAAATTCTCACAAAACTAGCTCAAACTTTTAAAGTGTTAAGACAAAACTGTTTTTTTTTAACTTTTTGAATCTTTCAGCTTGCCTCAAGTTGTAAAACTTGTACGAAACTTTTCAGGGAGTCGGATGGTCGAAAGATCAACTCGGCGCGATCGGCCAGGGCGCCGCCGAGCTCTCGGGGAAGGTGAGCGAAAAGATCACTTACAGAATTTCAAATGATCAGTGTTTTCGTCTAAAATTGTTCACTCATTGATTAAGAGATTTTATCAAAGAGAAAGATGATGTTAAAACATTAAAAATCCCTCATAAACAGGTGGGAAACGCCGCCGTCGACACCTACAACAACGTCGGGAAAGCGGTGAGCAAAGGGTGGGATTGGTCGAAAAACGAGGCGCAACAGGTTGGCTGACAAAAATTGGATAAAGGTTGATTGGTTCCAAGAATGATTTCAAAGTTAGACTTCAAAAGTTCAGTTAAACCAAGAATCAAAAATAGACCGTTCTATTTTTGGTTCATTGACCCCAAGGCATTGGTTCTATTTACTATTAGCCTTGATTTTGATTGAATCGACTCTAAACGGTCACCTAATCCACTTGTCAATTGTCAAAACATCCACTCTCATTCAGGTTGGCACCAAAGTCGAGGGAGCCGCCATTGATGTAAGCCTTTTTATGTTTCTGTAAATCCCACAATCGTATTTTTTCTGGCAACCAGCGAACATTTTAGACCAAGAACTGGGCTGTCACCGCCGGGCAAAAGATTGGACAGGTTTGACCATGCTAATTTTACACTTATTTCCTACACCACTTATGGTAGTAGCCAATGCCAACTTGGCACCGGAATAACTCCTATCAATTACAACTCAAACATCCAGAGTTCTACAAACAAGTTCTACAACCATTCGCCACTAATTTAGACTGTTAACAATGGGATCAACGAGGTCAAACAAGCAGTCTGATTCATCAAAAGCAAGTTCTCATCCGAATAAAAGTTGTTTGTCAATAAAGTTTCCACCATTTCCTAAGTACCTGAAAGTAAAACCCGTTTATTCATACAAGAGAGAACACAAATTGCAAATAAAGAAAAATCGACATAGAACGGCATAATTAAGAAAGACTCTTCGATTTCAAAATTAAGAATCAATTTCCAAAATCGGAGGGCACAAATTTTAAGAACACAGGGGAAAACAACATGCGACTGGTTAAACGTGAAAAATTGACAAAATGAAACCAACTTCAGCCTTATTTCTTGTACTTCTTCAGCGTCTTCGATTCGAGGCGCGCCTTCTCGTCTTGCAGCTGCTTCATTTCGATTTCAAGTGCCTAAAGACAAGGATTTGCACGGAGCAAAAAACAGGGCTTCTAACCAATAATTGCCAAAAGCCTTTCTTAAATACTTTAAATCTCCAATTCAAATTTCAAATTCCAACAAACCTTTATTTGCCTCTCGAAGTCAGCCTCAATCTCGTTGCCGCGCACATTTAGCGCCTCCTCTTCACGGCGCATCTCTTCTTCTTTCTTGGTGAGTCGGCGGTTGAAATCTTCACGGAGCTCGGCCTCCTTGCGTGCAGTGTCGGCTTGCATTTCCCTGATTTTCTAAAATTACAACTATTTTAGCTTCCAAACTTTTAAATACCTGGTTGCAAGCTTGCGCCAGCTTTGGTCCAGTGTCACCATCACCGACGCTCATCGATCGCAGACGTTCACGGCGATATTGCTCGTAGAGAACCTAAACATAAAATATTGTATCTTAGGAATCTTCAACAATACCATGTGAGTGCGCTCGCGAAGTGAATCCACATTGGTGCGAAGCAGCGCTTCACGTAGCTTCACGAAGTCGCAGTGCTGCTCATTCTCCACTAAAATTTAACGTTACAAGTTACAAAGTTACACAACAAATTGCTTCAAAATCTACCTTCAACGATGCCCCAAGGGTAGCGCCTCGCACGAACAGGCTAAAGCAAAGACATTTCTACCAACTAAAGACGAATTTTACTTTTCCATTTCCCTTTTGCACGAAATCGGTACTGCCAACAATCGCAAACGGAACGCATTTGTTCATCTCGGCGTTAATTGCAGAAACCTAAAAAATAATGATTTGCTGAAAGCCTAACTTTACTAACCGTCTCATCGTACGTTGGGAATTCATAGACTTCAATCTTTTGTTGCGCCAGTTCGGACAGAATCTAAATATTAAAGATTATGCGTTCGCTGTAGTCTTTCCAAACCCGTGTCTTGTAGCGCGACAAGTCGTCCTTGCTGATGGTGTCGCTTTTCGCAATAACTGGGATGACGTTCACGCGCTTGCTCAGCTCACGAAGGGTCACCAAATCGAGCGCTTTTAGTCTAAAAAACAGATTTGATTGATCATAACTTTTTGTTTTAATAGCTCCTATATAATAGCTCTTAATCGCTAAAAATATACCCATGTCCAGTTGGTGAAATAAAGTAAAGACAAGCGTGAATCCGCGTATCTTCATAGTAGGCGAGCATTCGGCGAACCTAAAGCAAAATTAAATTAAACAGTTTCTTAGCTAAACCATTAACCTTTAGTTCCTCTTTAAAGTACTTCTCGAATTGTTCGTTTATGTGCCCAACGATGACTTGTGCACTAAGATTTGAGTAAAAAGGCAAGAAGCGAAGATTAAAAACCTCTTGTCTTTGTCCAATTGATCACCGAATCCAGCCGTTTCAACGATCGTCATTTTGAGACGAATTCCGCCCTCAACGACTTCTAAATTCAAAATCTTTAAAGTAGCAACTAAACAACAAACCATATGTTTTACTGCGCAGCTCGACCGTGTTCAGCTCCTGATCACAGGCGTCGAATTCGAGCTTCATGTTGAAGAGCGATTCGATGAGCGTCGTTTTGCCGATACCCGTCTCTCCCACGCACATCAAATTGAATTGGAATCTGAAATTAGAAGAATTAAAACAAAAAAAAGTAGTCAAAGTAGTCTTGCCCACCATAATATTTATTTAACAGTATCATTAACAAAGTTGGAAATCTTTTAATGTGGAAGAGCTGCTAGCTCTTTGTAACTACCATCAACCCTTTGCACGACTAAACTTGTTAGGCAACTCAGTCATAATAATCCGTCAATCAAACCTCATATCACTCAAAACACCTCACCCCTGTTCGATGGCTTTTTTCACGAGTTGATGGGGCATCGAGTCGAATCCCACATGGCCATTCAGCTCAATGACGCGCACTTGCTCGTCAAGCGCCGAATTTGCACGATGTGGCGGTGGCACAGGCGGATCCTAAACAAAAGGTTTAAAACAATGATCAAAATATGACTTTTAACTGTATTCCTAGCCTTTAGTCATCTAAAAAGTCTGAATGGGTGGGCTGTTGCCAGTTTACTGCAGCTAGGGTAGCGATTAACACAGAACACTTTCGAGCAACATAAACCCTATAAATTTTGTAGCACTCAGTAAAAATAATTAAACGGCAAGGTTTTAATGCGACAATTCTTAAAACGGCACCCCATCGTAACATTGCTTTCCTCAGAAGTTAATTCCTGCTTTGATTTTAAAAATGCCAAAAAAACTCACAATGACCGGCTTCCTGGCGACATCGGCCATTTTGACGACGCTTCTTCTGTAAAACGACGTTTTGAATAGTTTAATAAAAAATATTAGAGAATAGAGCGAAAACGAAAGAAACCAGAGTGAAAGATGACTCAAAAAGGAGTTCGTGTCCAAGCTGTCAACGGGAAAAACGCGCGCGATTTGGAACAAAGAAGCCACTAATCAAGGATCAAGAGGAAAGGGAATGGTTAGGCTCGAAATTTGCAAACATTGATCGTTGGGAAACGTCAAAATTAGGATTTAGCTTTTCGCAAGAAGGTTTAGAAATCTTCAAAAACAGGAAAGGATCGAATTTTAGCTCGGAAAAAGACCAATATAGACTTCTGAAGTGATAAAGCTTTGTTTTTAACGTAAAGCACTAAGCACCTAACGTAAAGCACTATAAGCGATCTTGCCAAAGTCAAAGATCTGCGAGCGAGCATTGAAACCAAAGTTTTGACGAAGATTTTTTCTAAAAAGAACATGCATGAGCCAAGGTTTATAGACAAAACATATGGCTTACTCATCAAAATGGAATGCATTTTTCAATCAACAAAGCAAAAAACTAAAGAAAACTAATTGGGTTTTGGATTTTCAAATTTTACTGCTAGCGGCATCGTGATTTAGCGCCATTTGCACGGTGGTTCTATGCAAGATACCCGTTTGCGGTCAAAAGAGCCAAGGCAAGCTTTTTTTAAGAAGCTCACAGAATCTGAGTGATAAAACACTGTTCTAGAGCTGGTTTAACGCGGCAAATTGGCTATAATTTCAAAGGTTCAAGATCTGGAAAAAATATAAAAACGAAAAAACCGCACAAACTTGCCAAAGGCGGGTCGCGAGAGGAAAATGGAAGAAAATCAAGTCCTCCCGAATTTTTTATACAAAACTTTTTGTCGAAAATTGTCATTCAGCTTGTTGGCTAAATATCTTTATTTAGTGGCCATCAAAGGATTTTCGTTATTTAATCATTTAAGGGCTCGAAAATTCATTTTTCCTCATTTTTCGTCGTGTAAATCTAAACTTTTTAAGCACTTTAGATCCAATTTTTGTAACTTTTGCTTTAAAAAGACAAAGTTACACTCAAAATCCACCATATTTGATCAATTTCCAGTTAGTTGGGTGGAGAAAACGAGAGAGTTTTTTAGTTTTTTTTTGACTCCACAAACACACGGAACAAAGCAAGTCATAGACAGGATCTTTCTCACATATAAATGATGTGTGTGACAAACGATTTCTCTTTTTTCGCTATTTATCGCTTTTGTGAAAAGACGATCGAATTTCGGCGATTCACATGATTCGTTCAGTTCCGAGAGTTTGGCTACTGATAAAAGTTTGCGAAATCTAGTAGCTTTTAAAGTACATAAGTACCAGTTGTTCGATGCACAGTTATACCCATTATCCTAACAAAATGCTCTAACTACCGTACTCTAACCGTTCCAATTACCGTTAAAGCTTGCTCTTCTTGACTAAAGAACTTTCTAAATCGTGCCCCCTTTCTACCGTAATCTTGTCTCTATTTTTATTCAATCTATTCACTTTTTGTCTGATTCGTCAAGAATTTATAGAGGATATCGAAAAATATAAAAAGTGGATAGATTGGATAAAACGAGAGACAAGATTACGGTAGAAAGAGGAAAGGAGGCACGTTTTAGAAAAGCAATAGTCAAAATTATGCATTAAATCACATCTGTGCCTTTTTTTTGGTCAATCACCAACTATTACGTCATCCTTTCTTGACCTTGATAACGATGGTAATGATCTGACCTCTACCCCCTTTTTTCACCTACAACCGTTTGTTCAATTGATTTCAAAATCTTATTTTCTCTCCTTCTTTCAATTCCTTTTGTTGAAAATGATTCACCCGAATTTATCCCTGTCATATTTTCATCAACCTATCTTGACACCTTTCTTTGCTTTCCGAGAATTGTTGATAGAAATTCTGTAGGGAATCTTTGTGATTCAATGATTGCTGCAAATCAAATCTCTTATAAACGAGATTTTTGAAGACTTTATATGTATTGAATGGCTTTGTTGAGAACAAAAATACGGTAGTGTCAATTTAGGACTAAGTTCTTAGCTTGGCCACCTTTTTTTTTAAAGCATCATAAATTAAAGGTTTCTTTTTGACGAGGCCTATTTGTGTTATTGTTCTTCAATTGCTCCTGCGGATTCTTTCGGAAAAAAACCAAACTTTCGACTTATCTGATGTGAGATCAAAAGCTGCGATTCGAATTGTAAGATTAAACCCGTGGATTAGAGACAGTTCATAGTATAATAGCTAATTGTAAGCAAAATAATGTTTAACTTGAGTTCTAACGGACTGGCGTTCTAACGGAATAACAAAGTTTCAAAGACTCGAGATATATCCTATTCCTAAACGTTGAGTGAAGTCCTTTATCAGCTTCTCATTCTTACCTTTTGTTGAGAATAAATCAATCAGTCCCGTTTCAATCAATTCAACTTTCGAGCACAACATTTGTGAAATTTGCTGAACAACCATTGTGGTGTCTTCCGGGATCAATTGCCGAGATTGATCATTTCCATTTCTCATCACATGTATTCATCACCAGCTGTTCCGCCCTTTTTGCGATCAGGCAAAGACGAACGGCCATCCCTCCAGCGGGTCATTTTCATTATCCATTTCCAAAATCTATTGCACCCAATAGTGGCCAAAGCTTTGAAACAATTTTATTTTTGATCTTTTACAATCAATTTTTCACTTTTAACCGAGTATTTTTTGACTAGAAAAACTGAATGATTGTGACGTAATGGAATCGATTGTTAAAGCTTTATAAACTGAATGTTTCACTTTTAACAAGCTCTCTTTATCTTATAGTGCTTCAATCATCATATGGAAAGTATTTCAATTTGTTATTTAAAAGCAATTAGCTGCAAGCGTTCAAATGTTAGATCACATATTTAATTGCAGAAATTTATCATTTTGACTTTTTTTTCCTGTCCGGTAAACCGTTTTTGGATTTAAAGAATGAATTTTTCACTTTTGGCGGAATTCTTTTGTCTCATAGTGTCCCAATCGAATGTAAATGTAATATTCTTCCAATTTGTTATTTAAAAAAATCGAGTAACCGCAAGGAACAAATAAAATTTACCCTTTTTACTCTAATTTTTGTTTTCTGCTAAACCATTTTCGACTATTCTGTTTGTAGTTTTTGGGGTTTGTAAATTAAAAGTTTCACTTTTAAAGGGATTCCTTTACCTTATCTAACTTTAATTGACGTTCATATTAATTGTCGTTAATTGCCATTCAAATCAAATCAATCTATCCAATCAATTGCAGATCACAAAAATGAAGTTCACTATTTGCATGCTTTTGCTATTGGTCGTGTCGGTGCGAGCCGACTTTTGGGATGATCTGGTCGATACGGCGAAATCGGCCGGGAAATCGGTAACGTAGTTACAAAAGAATTGCTAATTTATAGATTATCTTTGCTATACAAAACGTTGACAAATTCATTATAACAATTTTTTTTTCTGGTTAAACATCCCCACCCGTTTTTGCTTCTATCTAGATCTTTTGAGAAAAAGTGTGGATATTTTAAGTATCAGAGATGTTTAGGTTATAATTTCTGAACAAAGGTAAGCATACACATAAAGTAGATAAAACTGTCATAGGTTTAACCTAGATAAATCTAGTTGTTAGGGCATAAGCAAATAATATGTAATTCTTGATGGAATTAGTTTTATTTTCAAACTTGATAGTGCCTAAAATTGAAACAAAGCTTTTTTTTGTGTCATCTCAACTTTGAAAAAAGACTTTTAGATCAAAACTTGTGAAGAAACATAGACCCAAAACAGCTTTACGAGTCTAAGTTAACAATCTCTTAACTTCAATTCCTTAATTTCTATTTTTCTAGGTCGGCTCATTCGTCGACGAGACGGTCGTCCCGGCGGCGAAGACGGCCGGCTCAGCAATTTCTGGTGGAGCTTCGGATGTGAGTTTTTATGAAAAAAAATAGTACTACATATTGATATCTATCTCTAGCTTATAAATTTAATTATACAAATTTTTAGGCGGCCACATGGGTAAACGACAAAGCGGTGCCCGCCGTGAAGACTGCCGCCGTTGATGTGAGTTTGGACACCAAATTTTGAAGATGAACTCTTGCGCGAAAAGCTACCGTAACCTAATAAAACTAATATTTAGATATATTAGTATTATATTTTTAAGATATACAGTACTATTTATTAAATAAAAACCCAATTCCAGACGCACGATTGGGTCCGTGACACCGGAGTGCCCGCCGTGCAGAAAGCCGGTCAAGACGTGCATCAAGCAGCTTCAGATGTGGGTATTTAAACTTTAAAATGTAGCTAACATTTCAAAAAAACATAGCTAACATAGTAAATGCTAATTGTTTTTGATTAGAATAAGCTATTCAATATATTATGGTTTGATTAAAAAGATCAGTTTCACTTTTAACGATCCCAGTGAGGTTTTATGGTTCCAAAAGTGTGACTTCTTTTAAAAAAAGCTTAGCATAAGTCTATAAATATTTGCTCTGGTAGTAAGTGATAAGCCTAGCTATGTTTTTCAAATTAAAAAAAAAAATTTAGACCTTCTCCGATAAGTAGAGATCTTCATCGTCAAGTCCCAAAGCTCAGCTCAACTCAGCTCAACTCAACTCATCGACTTGTACTCTTCGAAAGCTACAAAAACTGCAAAAACAAACAATAAAAACAGTGATAGCTTTTACCCTCCTTATTTCATTCTTTACTTTGTACAGTTGCAAATTGTGTCTGAATTTACATATTTATATTTGCATATTTGCCTTGAACCGATTACTCCAGAAAAATAAAGTCAAGTCTCGTTAATATAATCTAATCAGAACTAGAGGGAAACTATTTTTTTGTGTTTTGATAGCTTTTGAGGGGAAATGGAGGGCGTCTATCGAAAAAGAGAACATAGAGAACATAGAGAATACGTCGATGAACTTATAATTACTTATGTATTAGTTGAAGACATAACAAAAACACGTTTTAAATTGAAGAAAGTGTTGTAGTGAGGAGAGTGGATCGAACAAAGGACGATCTCTTGAGAATCTCTTGAGAATTGAGTAGAGAATACATTTTATCTTGTAGATGAGCGTCAGTTGATCTTTCAAAATGTGCTCATTTCTAGAAAACTATCGTACTCAAAAGTCAGTTTACATTCAAATCTAATATGTGTTGACTGAGCACCGGTATTGTTTATTTAAAGAGCAGCAAAATAGGCACCGGCTTCAAGTTGGGCACATATCGTTTTGATGAGTATGAGTGACATGGAGACAAGTGATTTGCCTGATTCCGACTATGCGGTAGAAATTTCAGCTCAAAACTTGCATCACTTTTTTGCTGGCTTTCAATAACTTTGTTTTATAAAACAGTAAATACTTTTTTGTTTTTAACAATTCTGTGTTTCAAAGCTCCGATCTGTCAACATCTCCAATTCTAGATTCTTGTCAAACATTCGATGTTGAATGTGCGGAAGAACTGGAGTTGAAGAACTGGAGTTGAAGCACTGAAGAACTTAACAAAATATCGCAACTCTTTGTAATTTGATATTTGTTTTGAATTAAACTTAAAACTGAATTGAAATTGAAACAATGAAACTTAAAAGTACAAAATGCAATGTTGCAATGTCGTTTCTATTGTTTGTAATTGAAATTAACTAGCTTTGCACGAATCAAATCAATTTTTTTTGTCAGATAAGATGATAAAAGTTTGGTTAGACAAAGTTTGTTTGTTTGTTTCAGCATTTGTTTCAGCATTCTATGCATTAAGCTTGTTGGGTTACTGAAAGAAGTAACGGTTGGCTTTATTAAGATGATAAGATCTTAATAAAGCCAAGCCAAAGGCTTTATTCATGTTTACAGTCTGTGCTGAGCAATAAAAGCCAAATATCAAGTGTATTTTTTTCAATCACACAACGATAAAATTCAATTTTGAATAGACTTTGGTTCCTCTTTTGCCCATAGATCTTTTCACAATGTCCTAGTTATAAAAAGTTTTTCTTGTTCATTCCCTTCGGCCCCTAATTAGACTCTCACAAAAAAAACACTTTCGGATTATCTATCTAGAATAATCCCCAGACAATTTTTCTTCACTTTTCTCTAATGATCTAATGATAAATTAAAAAGATTTTAAAGATTCGTATCAAAAGTTTTTCTTGATCTTTTGTTTTGTTTAAAACTACAGCATCTCACTGGCTTTCATTCTTTATCTCACTTTATCTCAAAACTTTTATCCGATCCATTTTATCCATCCATCCGATTTTATCCAGCAAATCTTTTTCAACAAAATAGTTTATTAAAATCGAAAACGAGAGCTGAAATTGTCAGATATCACTTTAATTTTAGAACATTCACGTTTACAACTGAAGCTACAACAAAAATGATAACCCTAAACTGGTTAAATCGGCATGAATAAGCGCTCCAAAATTGCTCCAATGCTCCAAAATTTCCCCAGCAAAGAGCTTAACTCATTTTTGAACTAGTTTTAAGCTTACAGGGTTTTTAGCCCACCCACCCAACTCCGTTGCCCGAATGAATGTGAAATACGTCTCCACCCACCTGAACTAACGTTCCCGGCTGTGATCCTCCTGTACATGACCCGTAGCCCGTAGTCGCTTCGCGGCATTTAAGCGCCAACGTCTACAAATGCAAATTTTCGAACTGCCTCATGTACAGCCGGGTGTAAAAAATGCAAATTAATCATCATTTTCAATGCTTTTAAAGCCAGCGCACAAGTGTTGAGATGTTCGATAGATATGGAAAGCAGTGTAACTTTGATCTAGTGATTTGTTGGTGAAAAGTTTAAATAAAACTCGTGTTTACTAAAAGCGATGTTACAAACGAGGCTTCACTGTATCTTGCAGACGAATGCCTCTCTCGGTTTTCGAGCTCTTCGATCGAGTGATTGTCATTTTCAATGCATCGGTGGCCTATTTTGCGAATGTTGTTCTCATCTTTCTCATCTTTTTTCATAGCCCTAAACACATGGGCACTTATCGATACTTGATGCTATGTTTTGCAATATTTAGCATCATTTATGTCACCACTCATATCATCGTCATGCCAGTGAGTTGATGTTTTAACGGCTAATGAGATGAAGAGTTTTCAAAAAACTTACTCAAAATTGTTTCAAGATACTTTAAAGAATGTTTTTAAAGTTTTCTGAATAAAAATGAATGAAACATTCAGAATATGCATGTTTACGGGTACGGTTTCTGTTTGATGCCCACTTCATTACTCAATGGAACTTTGATGCCCGCTCATTGGGGATTGACCTTTTGGGGAATGCTCTTCACACAGGTTTTTCATTTCAATCAAAAAAACATGCCATTAAAATCTCGATTACATTTACAAAGGCTACAAACAATTAAGTGGCTTGATAGAGCTTCTAATTTATTGAATGTTTCAAACTTTTAACTTCAAATGTTTCAAAACTTCAAATACTTCAAATGTGCTTTACTTTACTTCAAAAAACCTTACAATATAAATTGAGAAAGTTTTAAGTAAAAGAAAAATGTAAATGTTTTCTTATAAAAAAGATTTTATAAACAAAGAAAAGAGTTTGTTTACAAAATTTCAAAGAAAACATTTCGAAAAGTAGGAAAAAAAACGCCCGGAAATTTAAAAGCGGTAATCTTTGAAACAAAACAAAAAACTCTAAAATAAAGTTAAAGATCACAAACAATTCATTGCTTTAGAAGTTCACAAAATAGAAGCTAAATATGTAAATGTTTTAAATAAGATTATCAAAAAACAATCCACTGCAGTGCTTCATCGAAAAGTGAACAACACCACGATTTTCAGAGTCTCGTCCTCATCTCATTTCACTTCTTCTATCGATATTGTCTAGTTTGCCAGTAATAAAACAAAAAAAGAATCTTAAACAAAGCAAACCTAGATTCCAATGGTTGACACTATTCAACTCGTGGAAATATGTACCGCTTTGGGTGGGAATCTGGGCTTTGATGGGACTCTCCTGTGCCGCCACTCTCCATTTCTTTATGTATCACACACCAGCGTATCAAGTAATGAGTGTTAAAAGTTCCTTTTCAAAAAAAAAGCTTTCTTATTAATGACTTAGTGCTTTTTAGGCTCATTTTCGTGAAACTCTCTGGGAGATTTATCACTTCGATGTGAACAAAACGGCGATTCTTGGGCCTCTCTACAAGGTTACAATTTAAACGACCTTTCAGATTGCTTTCAGTAAAGTTATAAACCCTATATTTAAGCATATCAACTAACTTAACTTTGTCTAACGTTTCCACACGTTTTCAGTTGTCCAGAGAAATGGTCGGCCTCAGCCTCAGAGCTGTTTCACTTGGCCTGCTTTCATTTGGCCTGCTTTCATTTGGCCTGCTGTTTTGACAAACTTTGTTATGCTGCATCGTTTCAGAATAGATTCTAGTGCTTAGAACAAACATCAAAATAAATTTATTTGATTAATGAACTCAAGTGGAAACAAATTCAGAGAAAAACTGCAAGTGGTGCCGAGGAGTGGGATGTGGGAGCCCTGTTGAGCTACGCGATTTGTGCTTTTCTGCACGGGATCACGTTCATATTGATCACTTTTTGTATTCATCGGATCAATAAAACATTGAAAGTGGGATTTATCTATAAACTAATTTGATTTATGTTAGACAGCAGCAATGTCGGAGAAGCTAAGAAGTTTACAGTACGACTTCTTTAAAGCACTACTTGTTCAGGTACTAACTGATACTAACTGATAACTGATACAAGGGAAATGTGGCAGTAGAATGTGGTCAAATGAGATAAGCCGTAGACGCAGATTTTCACGCTGATTCCGAATCTGCTTTCGGTTTTTGTAAAATAGCTTTCTATAAAAAGTTAAGTGTTTTAAGTTTTAGGGTAGAGCGAAATAGAAGCCGGATAAGAATGTCTTTATAAGGCTTCTATCACGGGGTTTCAAACTGTCAAGATGGTGTAGTGGGTAAAGGTTTGCCTACAAAACCAGCCTTTCGTTTTTTTGCTCGAGTTCGATTCCTTCTTGGCAAAACTTTTGATGCTTTGATGTTTTAACACCGAAATTTTATCTGATCTTTAAACTATTTGAAATAGTTTTATACTATGATCTATTTCTTATCTCATTTGGTCACTAAGCCTTTCCTTGAATTGAAGAGCATTGAAATTGATGAAAGCGTGCTTATTTGAGATGAAAATTTCCCAGACACTCATCCCAACAATCTTCGAGTACATTCCCTTTCTCGTGATCTTCTCAAGCCCTTTATTAAGTCGATGGATTGCTGTTGGAAGATGGGCGAACTTTGTCCCAACCGCTGTCTCATTCTATCCAATGATCGATCCGATTTGTATCATTTATTTTATTAAAGACTATCGTTTTGCTTTGATGAGACGAATCAAACGAATCAAACGAAACAAGTCAGCTTAAACAAAACTTACAGAAAGATCAATAGAAAACTATTTGTTTATTTATTTCTCACCATAAGTAAAATTTGGCTGTCAATTGTCAATGAACTAATAATGAACGAAATGAACTGAACTTGTTAATTTTAGCAACACCATCGGCATTGCTTACACAACGAATGCAACATCGGAAAAGCCGGGCAGCTCGGCACTTCAAACAGAATAAGAGACAGTTCTTTCGAAATTTCCTATAAACTTTTTGTATCTCTACTCATTTTCAATGACAACCACAATTTCATACAAAGCTGTAATTGCCTTAAAGTAATTGTTATCGAAAATTCAGATTACTATTCATTTTCAAAAATAAAGTTTCAACTTCAAGAGATAAGGTCAAATTTTATTTGGAATTAATTCATTCCAGGTCCCCATTAACATCAATTTTCAGCGCATCATCACCGCTTGATAGCCGACTTTTTTAAAACCCAAAACTTCCCGATTTTAAAGATTCAGACATCTATTCTTATTGGAATTTAGTCTAAAGCTTACTTACTCAAACTTGTTTACTTCTCAAAAATGAAATGTTTCAAAGTTTAACCGTTAAACTCGAGATTGTTGCAGGCTAATTCTGACGAAAAGGGATAATTCTTTTCTTCCTGTTAATTCACAATTCTAGATGAAATTCAGGTTGTAAGGGATAAGGAAAATTGAAAGTATCTGTAAACGAATTATATCTTATTGCCATGTCAAATCTGCCCTATATTTAATCCATTTGTACCTGTGTTTCCTAAGTGTAGTCTTACTGTACTATTTTTAGTTTTCTTTCTTTTTTGTGTGAAAGTATTGTAGCAATATGTTATATGCGGTTATGACTATCTGAATCAATCAGTTGAACGGCTGAATATCTTTTAAAAGAGTCGTAGAATCACGCGGCGCTCGTGATTTTTTGCGCCATTTTTTTTGCAATAATTTTCGCTAAAAGTACGATAATTTTTCGTGCGTTTTAAAGCGTAAGCGTGCGTTTTAAAAAAGGTATTACTCACTCTACTACCATTGACACACTCTACTACCAATGTTCATTGAAAAGTGTCATCGTTTGTCGTTCATCGCTTCATTTACCTAAAAACAATTTTCCGTGATTGCCGCTTAATCGTCAACCAATTTGAAACCCGAAATTTCCTTTTTTATTCAAACTTTAGAGAGATTACAGTGGGGAAAGTTTCAAAGCCCCTTATTACAGTAGTCGATTTTTCCTTTTCAAGTTTCAAAACTGATCTTTGTTTCAGTTTCAAATGGCAAACTGACCAACAACACGAAACCCCACTTGAATGCTAAATTTTACCAAACATTCTCTACGGAACTGCTCGTTTGGAATTGGAACCAAAAGAATTTAACTTGGAATTCGATTGGAACCAAAAGAATTTAAAATAAAATTTTAAAGACCCAAATTAAGCTATTTAAAAACTCCAAAATTTTTAAGAACACCAAAATTTTGATTTTAATAATAAGAGCTAAAATTGAAACCCATTCAAATTGTGTCACTTCGTGTTCTTTGTTTTCCAATTCCTCTTGATCTTTCGGCTCGAAATTTCCGAGAATCTTCATCAAATAAAGAGTAAAAGGAGTGAAGAAAAGAAAAAAAAAGAAATGATTTTCTTCTTTTTTTGGCCGGAAACGGGCACACTTTCTCGGAAAAAGAACGAGCCCAGCCCACCGTTTGACGTCTATTTTGACCCAGGCAATCATTTTCTTTTTCTTTTTCTTTTTCTTGATTGAGTGAATATTTTCTTTTAATCAACCTTTTGAATTTTAGTCAAATAATTGAATTTGCGCAGGTGATAGAACAAATTTAAGAATAAAACTGTAAAAATAGTTCAACTTCACGACTTTCAACCAATTAAACCCGAGTTTCATTTGGTAAACTCAATAAAATGAAGATCGCCAATCGATTCGCCGATCCCGAAAACCCTTGGGTACAAATTCACAGCTAAATATCTTCTTTTTGTGCCATCTAGAAAGCAAAAGAGAAATCGCGTAAATGACTGGCGAGGTGTTCTTTGTGCGGGCGCGTAACCGCTCTCCATCTGGCACATCGTCAAGATAGATAGGGGTTCGAAGAAGGGGTGATCGGCTCTCCTCCTGCTCCTTTCCCCCTCCGCTCTCGGCGTCACTATGTCCAAATTCCTAGGAGCAAGTTTTCGCTTAAATTTGGCTATATTTTTTTACTGAAATTTCAGATTTCTTTAAACAAGAAATCCCGGAAAAATGTGTCAAAATGTAAAAATTTTCAGGATTTTGTCGAAAAATGCGTACTTTCCCTCGCGAATTTCCTCCAATTTCCTTCATTTCATCGGGCGAATATTTTAAAGGAACATGTGGAAATTAGCCCTTTCCTTTCGTTTCCTCGACTGAAATTTGTGTTTTTGTCTGACTAAGCCCTAATTTTCGGTGGCTTAGCTGAATAATGAATATCTTTCTTGGAAATTTCATTTATTTCACTTGGGACTAAGAAAATTTACGGTTTACTTTCAAAATTTTCAAAATTCTTTTCTAATTTTTGGTTTTGAGTGAAATTTTTCTGATCTCTAAACTAAAATATAGAAAAGGAGTCAAAAGCAGAAAATTTGCCTTTTTTTGAAATTTTCAACGTTTCAACTTTTACCCGATGCGAATCGCATTTTTGGGTCTTAATTTGAGATTATATGCGCTTTTCAAGGTCCTCCAAGCATTGATTTTGCCTAACCGATTCATTTACCCAGGTCCTATCTTAGGATAAAAACTTGCCTAGAGTCAATGGACTCCTGAAAATTCGCTTTTGCTTGAGATTTGAATTCGAGATCATGTTTTACAGCGTTTGATTTGCGTTATTCAAGTTGAAACTTGTTCTTTAGTTTTCTTTGTTTTCTTTGTTTTCTCCCAAATCTCGTAAACATCCCCCTTTCTGGCGCACTCAATTCTTTCATTTCCCCCCACAGAGCATCGATTTGATGTCACGAAGGGAAATGGAAGCATTCAGTGCACCAGAAATGAATTTTTTACGGGATTTTGGGACACCAAAGAACAAGTTTCAACTTGAACGGGATCTCACATGTCAGTTAGGCATGTCCATTTTCGAGTTTTGGCGGCTGGGTCGGGTCAGCGGGTCACTTTTGACCCGACCCGATCCGATGCGACCCGACCCGACCCGCTGCCCATGTCTAATGTCAGTAAAGGCAAAACTAATGCTTTCTCCATAAAAATCCTCAAGATTACTTCAATTTTACTATTAACCGAAATCTTAGATTTAGCTGTATATCTTTTACATCGTTTTTCTTTCACTTTTGCAGAGTCACACTAATTTCCATTTTGTGAGTGAGTCCCCCACATCCCCATTTTTCTCTTTGCTCACTCGAAAAGTGCCTGCACATTTTTAATGAATCTTCCCTACTTTTTGGTATTCAAAGCAAAAAAAAACAAAAATAATCATTGAAAACTTCAAAAGTCACGTGTTTTCGATAATATTTTGATTATTTTGACTATTTTAAAGTAAGTTTTCAGGATTTACACTGAAAACTTGATGTTTCAAAGTTTAGAAGGCTTACGTTGAAGGCTAAGGCTTAGGGTTGTGGCTTAAATTGTATTTCATTAAATTTAATTTTTAATCTTTTGAACAATCTTCGTCAAAAAAGCCTTAAACCTCGAAATTTTCAATGATCAAAAAGTTTGAAGTTTCAAAGTATTCAGTTATTTGAAGAGAAAGAAAATATTAATTCTAAAAAGAGATTTTTTTGTGATTAAAGTGATTAATTGTTGAATTTCTTTAGAATTTGAAATCCATCAAATAACTTTCAAATTTCTCATCTGAAAATCAAAAATCTTCCCAAAATTTGATGCTTTTCAAGGCTCATTCGGTAAACTTTAAAATTCAATAAGTCTGGATTTTAAATGTTTCAAATTTTTCACCACTTTGTTTAACCCATTCGAAACTTCTGCAGCAAAAACTCAGGAACGAACCGCTGCAGCGCTAATTGAGCTATTTTCATTCGTACTCTGTCAAGAACTAAAAATTTTGATTTTTAAACTCTTTTTGCTCGATTTTTGTTCTTTTCTATTCTTTTCTATTCCCATTTTTCTTCAAAAAAAAAAACCATTGAATTCATTGTTGAATAGCCGGCTTTTTGTGAGCGTTCATCGAAAAATCAAAGGCAAAATTTGAAGGTTTTCCAAATTTCAAAGGAACAATGAATTTTTGCCTCGAATTTTTGCTTTGAAAAGTTTTTGATTCTTAAAATGTAAATTGCCTTTTGACTATTGAGCTTTATGGATTAGGATTTCAATCTGCCGAACGTTGACTTCCTTGACTCAGAATTGAAATCAGATTTCATACTGATTTCAATTCTGAGTCAAAGAAATCAACATTGTCTTTGAAATGATAGCTTTCTTCGATTTGATAGAAATGCTAGAGTTGAAATATTTTTTGATTCTTTAAGTCAACAAAAATAAGCCCCAAACTTTTTTTTGATTCAAATAAGTGGTCAAATTTAAAGGTTGAGTGCGTTTCGTTTCCTGAAAAGCATTTTAGACAAAGCAAAGCAGTAACTCAGCCACCATTTTTTCATTCGATCAACCCAATTTTGGTCGATTTGACTGAGCTTTATGAATTCGAATTTCAATCTGCCGAATACTGATTTCAATTCTGAGTCAAGGAAGTCAACATTGTCTTTGTTTACTGTTTTTGTTTCAACATTGTCTTTGAATTTACTGAGCCTTTTGATTCCCTTCATTGAATTTGATCAAAAAACGATTCATCGAAATGGTGAATGAATTGTAGATTGAATAAAAAGAACAAGAATCAAAGGATTTGTTGATTATTGATCAACATCAATAATCAACAAATCAACAATGATCTTCTCCCTAAAAACCACTCAATTTTTCATTTATTTTTCTAATTCAATAAATAATATTAAAGAAAAACTGGTTGAAACCTAATCCAAATTCTTTTTTTTTTCAATTGTCTACAGGAAATTTGAAACCTTTGTGTTTTTTTATTCGAAAAGAATGGACTTTGTGAGTGGACAACGGGGAAAGAGGAAACAGAAAAGATTTTCTGATTTTTATCAGAAATTAATAAAACTGATTACTATAAAAGAATGTAAGCTATTTTTGGGTAAAAGATGTTACCCATCGACATTGACCCATTTGAAATGTTGCCCATCGACATTGAAATGTTACCTATCGACATTGATCCATTTGAAATGTTACCCACCAACATCGACCCATTTGAAATGTTACCCATCGACATTGAAATGTTACCTATCGACATTGATCCATTTGAAATGTTACCCATCGACATCGACAATTACGCCATTAATCTAATCGAAAAGCCTTTAAAACAACTGAAATTGAAACACGATCTTATTATGTTTATGCGCTTCGGATTTAAAGGCCAATTCTTTTAAAAAAGCTATAGCTAAAAAGCACTCAAAAATACCACATGCGCTAACAGATTTTTGACTCATTTTCCAGTTCTATAGGGACTTGATTGAAAGCTTTTATGCAGAAAAGAAATTTTAAAAAGGGCTGCAGGAGTACGCGATCATACTCTTTACCCGGTCTTCTATTCGAACAAATACGGTATTCGTTTTTAGCAATGATAACGATTCATATATTAATAATTTACTAGTTTTATTAAAATTTAAAAACATCATTGAGATATTGAAGACATTTGATCGCAACTACCATATTTTCTCTAATAGTAGTTGCACCCTGAGCGTCGCCTAAATTGCTCGAAATCTCGAGAAGCGCTTATCAGAACCTATCGATGTGGGGTCGGAAAATGTAGCTGACGATGAGATCTTGTGGGGGATTTGAGTGTTGAGCTTCTGCAAAAGCTTGGAAACCGTAAAATAGTGACCAACTCGGCTCGCTGGGGTGCACTACTATTAGAGAAAATACGGTAACTGCTTTTGAAACATTACTATATTCTCTCTAATAGTAGTGCACTCTCTAATAGTATTTCGGTCCAGGAGGGGGTTCAAAAAATAGTAGTGCGCACTACTATTAGAGAGAATACGTATTTATTATTATATCATGTCTTATCTACTTGCTTTATTAATCAAATATTGGAGTTGTTGAAATTTGAAACAGGTTTTTTTATTAATAATATCGTTGAGATTTTCTTATATAATCCTAAATCGATTCAAATAAAAAAACAGACATTTTTCTTGATGCTACAATTGTTTTCCCTAATTGCCAATTTCTTGTATATTAAAATCGATTGTTTCGCTTTTAAGTCGAATCAATTAAAACAAATCTTTGTTTTTCTCATTTGAAACTTTGGAAAACTTTTAATTTGAATGTTATTACCGTAAATACTGTAATAGTATCCCTGTAATCATGTAATAGTACCCCACCGCCCCCGTACAGTCGCGTAGTCGCAAAAATTCTTTAGTATTTCACTTTTTTGCAAAGCACCCGTACTTTCAAAAAATGCGTCTTTAGTATCAAAAAATAGCTGAAATTCAGGGCTATTTTTTGGTACCTAAAAGAGCATTGTAGCATAAACCAGTATCAAGAAAAATGCGTTCATAGCTAGACTACGCAATACTCCGCACCGTCATTATGGGGGCGGGGTACTATTACAGTATTTACGGTATCTGTTTCCTTTACAAATTAGGCTTGTTGATCATGCTTGAAGTTTTAAAAGTTGAAACATAAATTTATTGCTTTTTGTTTTTGTGTTTTTTATTTATTGTTTTTGTTTTTTTATTTGCTTTCAATTGCTTTTTGTGCGTCTAATAGCAAATGATGGTTTTAAAAGGGAGAAGCCCGAAAATAGACCAAATAAAACGTTTTTTTTGTACAGCTTTGTGACTTTAAAAGAATTAAAATTAAAGAATTAAAATTAAAGCTGAATTAAAGCCAAAGTTTGGAAAAAAGAATCCCAGCGTTAAAGCACCCGATTTCGATCTTACATTAAATATTTTGAAACACGTTTTTTTTGAATCTGATAGATATTTTTAATTTTAAGTTAACACCGTTATTTGAGCTCTTGAAACGATAAAGGTTGAACGTTGAACTTAGAATTTGTTTGTTTCAACTTAAGCTGTCTTTTTGTTTGTTTAAGGACGGTTAATGGTGTGCTACACATAACTCAGAAATTGCTTAATCAAATTTGATTTCGAATTTTGTTTAGGGTTTTGGAGTGAAGCAATTGATAAGATTGATTGATAAAAATGATTGTCAATTAGAAGAAATTTGAAACTCTAAATTTTTCGTTTCAATCCCTCTTTGAAATGAATCAAAAATGAGCTTTCTTTTGATATTTTGTTTTCTTTGAAATTTTCCCTACTTTACAAAAGGAATTTCCAGAGTACTTTACAAAAGTATTGAAAGATTTGTATTGAAAGACAGATGAAACGCGAGGAATGGATTCATCCCCTTCGTTTCCTCGTTTATTTCGCCTCAAATCTAATCAGCGTCTACTTTCTATGCTGTATTTTCCTCAAACGACCATATCATCGGAATTTCAGGTTTGGCAAAAGTTTCAACAGGCAATAATTTAACAAAAAAAAAATAACAGCCTAGTTTTGGTTGTTTGTTAAAAGTTGTTTGTTTGTTAAAATTTGTTAGTTTCAACTTAAGAGATGTTGTTGTTTGTTTGAGGAAGGTTAATGGTGTGCAGAAAGCCCGGAAATTGCTTAATTAAGTAGGATTAAGTAAAAATCGATTTGTAGAAGTTTAGTTTATTCTTGAAAATGAAAACAATGATCTAAACAACATTCAGAAATTGCTTAATTAAGACAAACAAACAACAAGATCTCTAAAGTTGAAACTAATATAGATATCCTCGCGTTTCATCTGTCTTTCAATACAAATCTTTCAATACTTTTGTAAAGTACTCTGGAAATTCCTTTTGTAAAGTAGGGAAAATTTCAAAGAAAACAAAATATCAAAAGAAAGCTCATTTTTGATTCATTTCAAAGAGGGATTGTAACGAAAAATTTAGAGTTTCAAATTTCTTCTAATTGACAATCATTTTTATCAATCAATCTTATCAATTGCTTCACTCCAAAACCCTAAACAAAATTCGGAATCAAATTTGATTAAGCAATTTCTGAGCTATGTGCAGCACACCATTAACCATCCTTAAACAAACAAAAAGACAGCTTAAGTTGAAACAAACAAATTCTAAGTTCAACGTTCAACCTTTATCGTTTCAAGAGCTCAAATAACGGTGTTAACTTAAAATTCAAAATATCTATCAGATTAAAAAAAAACGTGTTTCAAAATATTTAATGTAAGATCGAAATCGGGTGCTTTAACGCTGGGATTCTTTTTTCCAAACTTTGGCTTTAATTCAGCTTTAATTTTAATTCTTTAATTTTAATTCTTTTAAAGTCACAAAGCTGTACAAAAAAAAGCATTTTTCAAATAAATGCTTAATCAAATTTCATTTCGTTTTCACTTTTTATTTATTGTTAATTTCTAAAAAAAATCATTTACAGCAATCAAAAAAGAAAATTTCTTGTTGATTGTAAATATTGTGTTTCAAAGAAAAGAATATCCTTTTTGTTTTATTTTTTTTAATCAATTAGTGAACAAACTTCCCTTAAATCTATAATAAGTTGAATTTTTAATCGCAAAATTTAAAGTTTCCAATAAAAAGTGCAATATTAAGACCAATTTTTAACAAATATCTAGTTCAGAAGATTCATTTCATTGCATTAGAAAAAGTAGGGCTTCTTTTCTTAGTTTCAATGTGAACAGCTTGATTCTGACCCTTCTGAAAGGTAAAATCGAGTTAAACTGCAGATTCAAAGTTTTAAGAAATACAAAATTTCTCTAAACAACGATTTTTTTTATTGAACTGTGTCCTTTTTAGCTGATTCTCTGAAAGTCTTTCTTGAAAGAAAGTTTTTTTGAACTCTATTGGTTGCTAAAAAAAGCTAAAAGCTGATGCTAAAAAGAACCAAATTCTAGAAGAACTAAATTCTAAAAGAACCAAATTCTAGAAGAACCAAATTCTAAAAGAACTAAATTTTCTAAATTCTTCTATATCGTTGTTTTCATTTTCAAGAATAAACTAAACTGTAAAAATCGATTTGTACTTAATCCTACTTAATTTGAAACTACAAGTTTCTCTCTTAAGTAGCTAAGCGAATTTTTGTTGAAACTAGCGAATTTTAAGCCTTATTGCCCGATTTTAAATGCAGATGGATAAGTTGAAGCAAACTTTTCAAACAAACAAACAAACAAACAAACTTTTCCTGAGTCTCTGATATTTTAACAACTTAGAATGATCAAATTTCTAAAAGAAACTTTTTAGAACTTTATTGGTTGTGAATTGTGTGGCGGGTTGGTGCATCTCAGCCGGTGAATACCACATGATCATCGAGGCGGGAGGGCATTTTGATCCCATTGTGGTGGGTGCTAAAAAAAAATAGTTACCAATTTCAACATGCTCAAAACTATTGTGTAAAAATAAACAAATATGCTTACCAACTTTTACTCCCGTATCCACTTCACAGTGACTTTGGTTTACTTTGACTTTGGCCTTGCAATTCATATTCAACTTTATTAGGCTATAAATCTTTAAAAAGCATTCAAGAAGCTAACAACTAAAGAATGCGTTTTGAGAGACACAGTGTCAAAGTTGAAACTGGGGACTTTGCAGAGGTGGAACAAAATTTTGCTAAACAAAACGATTACCGTATTTTCTCTAATAGTAGTGCACCCCAGCGAGCCGAGTTGGTCACTATTTTACGGCTATTTTACGATTTCTAAGTTTTCACAGAGGCTCAACACTCTAATCCCCCACTGGATCTCATCGTCAGCTACATTTTCCGACCCCACATCGATAGGTTCTGATAAGCGGCTTTTGAGATTTCGAGCAATTTAGGCGACGCTCACGGTGCACTACTATTAGAGAAAATACGGTATTCAAGCGCAAACAAATGGTCACGATTATTCCGGACCAATTGGCTCAAGTAAAAGTTCATTTGAAACTCAATGTTTTTAACTGCGAGTTACTCTTTCTTTTCATTTCCCATTGCCTAATGGGTAGTATTATAATAAATAATTATCTGATAATCTAATGAGAGTGCATAGTACAGCCTCGTACACACTGTTAGACACTATTAGACACTATTGCACTACACTATTAGACAAAATACGGTATCAACAGTTTCTAAAGTTCACCCAATCTAGGGAAACTCCCGTAATCCACGCACCAGTTTTCCTTTCGATCAGCTCAATTTTGGTATCATTGACTGAGCCTTTGGATTCCCTCATCGAATTTGATTAATTTGGCTGATCGAATGAAAAATGGCGGCTAGATTAGGGTAAAAGGAATACACTTTGAACACGTGGCACAATCAAGTTTCAACTTTGAGAACAAACATGAATGAGCCTTGAAGTTAATGACTTTGTGCTTGAATATTCTTAAAAACCTAATTCTATGTCCATATTCTTGACATTCTTGACGTCAATTCGTTTCAGAAACAAGCGATTTTCATATGCTTTCTCTTCGGTTTATTCCTTTATCACGTCAGTATGATCTCGATTGCGATGGAGAGATTGCTGGCGACGATTTCTGTGCGAGTGAGGGGAATTTTTGGTAATCCTCTAATCCGTTTCCTAAAACATGTCCTCTTTCCCCTTTTCTACCGTAATCTTGTCTCTATTTTTGTATCTTTCTATATTCTTTGTGAACAGAATCAAACAAAAAAAAAATGAAGATTATGATAGAAGAGGAAAGGGGACAAGTTTTAGAAAACGGATTAGGAGATCAAACTCAAGGCTATAATTGCTATAAAAGGCTATAAAATTCGCTTAGCTATAATAATATAATTGCTAGTATGATCATGAGAAAATGATGGTGAAACTTGAAACATTGAATATCGAAAAACTTAGGTCTATGCAACGGGTGGCCGCAGCTGTGCACTGCAGGCGTTTCTCATTTTTGTAACGGTTTGTTTTCTCGAATCAAAAATCAAGAGTTGTATTTCAAATTCTTCCGAAACACAAAGACAAAGACAAAGTCAAACATTTCCTTTATCTAACATTTAACTTATTTCGTAGTTAATTGATTGAATACTTTTCTTTTCAGCTAGTCAGATAAATAACTGGAATCATCTTGTATTAATTGAATAATAACTGAATAACTGAATATCTTTAGGTGCTTGGTGCTTGTGGTATGGTGGCCTTTCAAAAGAGCTCAATAGGTAGGCGATACTGGTATTCACGAAAAAGATTTCATTGACGAAAGACGAGAAATTGAAACTTGTCTTTTTCAGTGCCAAATGCCGACATCGTCCTCTTGACGTTTTCTTTCACGACCGCATGCCTTTCAGCTGTGGTAAGCGTGGATGAGAAGTTGAGGATATTGTAGCTTGGTTAAAACTATCAACAATGCTAAGCTAGATTCAAAATAAATCAAAATACCAGAATAAAGGTGACAACGAGTGTTGTAGTGAAATCGCATTGGCATTGGTTTCTCTTTTCAATCCGAGTAATTGTTCACTTTGAAACACGCTTTCTATCTTTAGGTAGACACTAAAACACTTTGAGACACGCTTTCTATCTTTTTAGTAGACTTTCGCTTTCTTTCTATCTAGTAGACATGGGAAAAATTCCAAATTCATCCTTCGTTTCTTGGCCGATTGCTTTCCAATTTTGTCTAGAAGTTGAAAATTTCGATTTTAATCTGTAGACAAAATCTGTAGAAAATTTCAGAGCAATTGACCCAGAAAACGACCGGGAAAACGAAGGTGGAAATAGGTTCCGATGAAATTTTCCTATTTCTCTACCATTTAGGTTTGTAGGCGTCAACTAATCAAAACAGATAATTAAAGAATATCCGAGATCACCAAAAACTACCGTAATCAAAGTCCAGCTTTTATTCAGTATTCAGATCATGATTTTGCTATATATCTTCAACAAAAGGGCGTATCGTCGCCGAGCTGAACGGGTGCTTTGGGCTGAGAAGTATCAGTTGAACGAGAATTTACAATCAACGAGGTGAGAATGCACAAAAAATTCACAAGAAAATCAAAAGAAATGATAAGCTAAAATGAATAGTTTTATGGAAAAAGAAAAAAAACAATTTGTTATATATAAAATTCTTTGGAAAAACATCCCTGCCATTTATCCTCTAACATATTACATAAATCACCTCAAATCATAACTTCTACCTTACAACAATTGAAACAGCAACTTTATAAGGCAATTAAACGAGAATTTGTAATCAACAAATTTCTAGTGAAAAGAAAAATCTCCAATTTACGGGAGTGGGACAAATGCGACCTTTTTTTTGCGCACCCGGACATTAGCGCACCTTTTTTCGCGTTTTAAAAAAGCTCTAAAAAGCTAATATTAACCAATTTCTATTCCAAATGTTGTTTTTCTAGGTAATTTTCGGGCGTAGAATCGAAATTTTGACATATCAGAGCGTGTGGAACCAATTTGAAAGACAAAACGGCTAGATCAAATTACAGAAAATTGTCGATTTTTCTCTTTGTATAACTCCGTCCGTTTGTTTCCACGAGCTCTGATATGTCAAAATTTCGATTCTACGCCCTAAAATTACCTAGAAAAATAGAAAAAGAACTTTTGGAATAGAAATTGGCTAATATTAGCTTTTTTAAAACGCGAAAAAGGGTGCGCTAATGGGCAAGGTGCGCAAAAAAAGGTGCGCTAATGTCCGGGTGCGCAAAAAAAAGGTCGCATTTGTAGAGAAATGGTAGAGAAATAGGAAAATTTCAGCCGAACCTATTTCAACCTTCGTTTTCACAGCCGTTTTCTTGGTCAATTACTCTGAAATGAGTCATTTTACAAACTGTCTTGTAGTTAAAGTGATCCAATTTAAAACACGAACTTTTTAAAACCTTTTAAAAGATCAATTAAACGAGAATTTGTAATCAACTAGGTAAGCAAACAAAAATGAGAAATGGCACAAGCTTTTAAAATAACTAATAAACTGAAAAAGTTTGGAAAAGTTTGAAAAACTATTAACCTCCAGCAAGAAGGGCAGCACTAATTACATAAGCCTTTTGAAAGATCACTTCAACTTGAAACAGGGTTTTTTTGAAGTAGGTAATTCATTTTACTTGTCCTTTTCTACGATTAAATTGTAATTGCTTAAGTTTTTGTGAGTTTTTGAATATTTGTTGTGATTAGGATCCACACTTCAGTACAGCCGGTGCACTTTGAAACTCGAAATTGAACAAGAGACCCGAAAAAGTCACCAAAACTTTTAAGTTATCATTACAAGTTTCTATTCGTTTATTTTGTGACACGAATACATCTTTTGAATCCAAAATATAGACATTACTTTAAAACTAGCTATCAGAACACAGAAAGCTCGAGATTTGTAGGAGTTCGAGTCAAAAATCAGCATGTGAAAATCGAGTTTCAAAGTTATCGAGCTCAATTACGGAAAAAGACTTTAACTTCAGTTTGATGAGCAAAAATGCTCGACTTAAGTTTGGATTGGCTTAGAGTTTTTCAAAAAAAATACTTCCCTAATTAGTTTACAAGTACAAGTTCATCAGTCCAACATATCGCATTTTGAAACGCATAAAAAATGCTAGTTTTATTCTTTTTTTCTTCTTGAACAATTAGGTATAAGTTCCCTTTGAAAATGAGATAATATTAACAAGTTTCTACTTCGAAATATGGCCAACATTTAGAAGCTTGCTATCGGAACACAGAAAGCTGAGCCTTTGTAAGGGTTCGAGTAAAAATATCACCTTAAAAAGTTGAGTTTCAAAGTTAGGGGGCTCAGCTAGAGAAAGAAAATTTTAATTTACCAATGTTTTCGAATTGAACAATATTTTTAAATTTGAAACTTTTAATTCGAGAGCTTTCATTCCGATTGTGATCAACGAGTTGGCGTGTCGCTTCATCACGAATTTTTTGCATCTTCTGGCCGTACGATCCGGGGAGGATTTGGCCGCGAAACACAATGGATACGTCGAGATTATTGACATTGTGAGTTGGAAAAAAAATATTAATAGATAACAATAAAACTTGAGCTGTTTAAGGCTTATAAGTGAGTGGAACTAGTAAAAAATGAAAATGTTTTGCGTGCTTGAGCCTGAGTCGTTACGTTTTGTGTAGTTTACCTTGAAAAAACATCAATTTTACGGTGAAAATCCTAAGGCTTGTACTGTTATTACCGTTGAAAAGCTTAAACTCAAGCCGAACCCTTTGAAAAATTGAACTTTGTTTACAAGTAAAATTTCATGTTTCAAGCTTTCTCGCTAGCAAACGATTTTCTTGAGATTAATTCAGTGCGGTTTTTTAATGGATTCATTTTCAATAATGCCAAATTTTTATGTGTAAAAGCAAAAAATTGGGCTCAAATTGAACCCCACTAAAAGTTGTATACCTTTAGCCGACTGGATAGGAGTCTTGTCTCCTAGTCGGAGGGTCAAGGGTTCGATCCCGACGGCTAGAAAGATTGATTCTTTTTCCCATTATTTTGGGTTTTTAACAACATTTGCGTCATAGGGGTAACTAGGGATAGAAATTTCCTCCATTGTGTTGTAATTCATTATTCGTTTCAAATAAATATACCTTTAACAGTGGTGTTGTGTAGCTGGATTAGATTTAGAACAACAATACCCCAATATGCAACAGTTTTCGTTTAAATCTTTGAAGAGAAAAGAAAAGTGGTAAGCCACGCTGTTTTCGGCTTCATTTGGCAATGATCTTTTTTTTTCAATTTTCCAAAAGGATCTTGATAAAATTACAAACGAATTTGAATGAAGAGAAGTTTTTCAGTTCACCTCATATCGAATCTCCTTCGCTCACCTCGTCATCATTCGGCATATTCATCAGCGATGTCGAGAACCGTTTACTGATCAACCAAAGCACGAAATTATACCCAATTTTGAGGCAAAAAAGAAAATTTTACGATTTCGAGATGCTTAAATAAAAAATGAAAGATAAAAATTTGAAAACACATAAAACAGTGACAGAGTTAGATCTGAAATTCCGTTTTCTAAACCCTTTCTACCGTAATCTTGTCTTATTTCTGTCTTATTATTACTCTATTTTTTATTCAATCTATCCACTTTTTTTATTTCTTTCGATATCCTTTATGAATCTTTACAGAATCAGACAATAAGTGGATAGATTAGATGAAAAATAGAGACAAGATTACGGTAGAATGGGACATGGTTTAGGATTAGTATAAATGAATACACTTTGAGAGCTTTGGCTTCAATCACTGAACTATTTTGATTTCGATATTCAAAGTTTTAAGCTTAGCGGTCAACTGCCTACGAGCAGACTGGTAATCGATTGAATTGTGAGTTGTAGGGACATGCTATTGGGTTGATGCATAATACAAGCAAGATACAAGCACGCAAAAAAGAAGTCCGGATAATTATGCATCAACCCAATAATTTTAAGTGAGAAGTATTGGGTTTCAAAATGAACGGTCTGAAATTGGGAGATCAAATAATATTGCAGCTCATTTCTCTTGAGATATTTTAGCAAGACAATTGATCTTTAATTTGTTATACTGAAAGTTCTAGAAATGATTCGGCAATTTTAACGCTCCATTAACGCTTCAAAGTTTTCTCGACCACCGTAATCTTGTACAGGCAATGTGAGGCAATGTGACAAATTTACGGCATTTTTTTTCAGCACTTGTACAACCTTTAAATTCAAATCTCTCAGTATTAACAGGTATCACCTGTCCCACCCACCCATTCCCTCTTCTCCGCCCAGCCGTTCTTTATGTCACGAGACCTCGTTCTTTGCTTCTTCGGGCCATAAACGACCTACGTCTTGTCATAAATTGGGCTCCACCTGGGCAGATTTGTGGCCCGCTTTTTTTCCGATCAAAATTTGTCTTTTCTTGACCGCTTTGTTGGGCAAGTGCTGCGTAAGGGCGAGCGAGAAAAGGAGACAATTTTGAAAAGCCTTTTAAAAAAAATTTAGTTTCAAAATTATCAAGTATTGAACGCTTCTTCGAATTTTAATTCACGTACCCCGCTGACTGCTATATATAAAAGAGCAGTGTCCGTCCGTTTGTCTGTACGGGCTTTTTCTCAGCCTTCTTTGAGCCAAAAAAGCCAAAACTTATTTAGAAAACTTTAGAATATATTGTAGTTTTGCTATTTGAAAACAATTTTTAAAAATCAGACTTGGGTGAAACACCCGGGAATCCAACCCGGATCGTGTGGGTTATAGACAAGCGAGCTTCCGACTGCGCCATGGCGACGAAGCGGTGCTCCAAAACATCCAGTCAGAATTCGGCTGGTGTCAAAATAAAATCCAAATGCTAGAAAAAATGGTAACTTTGCAGAGCAATTTTACCCAAAAAGAATATCAGCTCATTTCCTGAATATCTTTACGTTCATGCACTTGACTAGGTATTTAATTGACGAATTTTACATTTTTCCTTCAATTCGGGGGTGGGACAAATGCGACCTTTTTTTTGCGCAGCTGGACATTTGCGCACCTTTTTTTTGCTGGAAAAGGCCTTAGGCAAGGCCGTAGAGCTTCGAAAATATTTCCAAATAAGGGAATCGTATGCGTAGATTCTGAATTTCGACAAATCAGACCTCGCTGACACGTCAAATTTGGGCTAAAAGACAAAAACTACGCAACTTAACGCTTTTCCGCAGTTTTTGCCTTTTAGCCCAAATTTGACGTGTCAGCGAGGTCTGATTTGTCGAAATTCGGAATCTACGCATACGATTCCCTTATATGAAAACATTTTTGAAGCTCTACGACCTTTCCTAAGGCCTTTTCCAGCAAAAAAAGGTGCGCAAATGTCCAGGTGCGCAAAAAAAGGTCGCATTTGTCCCACCCCCTTCAATTCACTTGCACTTCTTCTAAATTTTCTTTTTTCTGATGTTCTCTTGACATTTTACTGAAAGTTTAAAGTTTTAAGCTAAATTTTCTTATTTTAGGTCCGGGTTTCTCCGCAAAGTCACGAGGGAGTGCCGAAAACGACGTCATTTCTCATCCTCTTTACAATTTCGGCGTGCCTCTTTGAGGGAAATTCTCCGGAACTCTTCAATTCAAAAGGTTATTTTTGGTGGTTTTTTGAAAGTTAAATACTATTTGCGCGAGTTTGCGCTAAATGACGATCGTTGCTAGTTCGTTTTGATCGAAAACAGAACTGATATTTGGTAAAGTTTTCACCTTGAAGTTCACTTAAACTTGTCAATTTTGACCTGTTTTTAAAAGCCAATATCGTCACAAGCTTTCTTGTTGTTGCTTTGGTTCTGGAAAGCCCAATTTTTGCATGTTTCCCCAACTCCAAGCTTGCTTAAGGCCATCTGACAGCTTTATGACGGTTTATTGAATGGATTAATGCCTTTTCGCTGATTTTTCATCAAAACCTACCCATTTAGCCTCGATTTTAAGCCCATTGCACACCTAGACATTACCTCATTGCATTCGGGTAAAATCGCGAAACAATGGCATTTGTGCTCGTTTTTTTTGAGGGGATTCGCCTATTGTTTGATTTACCTAGAGGATATGCGGTTATTATCCTTTTCCCCACCTCTGTTCGACCACTTGATGAGGAACAATGAACCGTATTGACTCAACCAGTTGATCGGGGTCATTGTGACATTGTTTTTACCCCAAATTTTATTTATTTAAACTTTAAAATGGCTACAATTGGAGAAATTTTTTTGTTAAAAATTTGATTTCATTTTTCGCATCAAAACTTCATTATTACTTGTTTAGCCACAACACGATTAATAATGAAATTCTTAAAAAAAACCTGTCTCAATCCTTGAAACGCTCATCGACTTGTACGATGTTTTTTACATATTTTATTCATGACACGATTTGAACGGTGTCAAAACCAAACATCAGGTACACAAGTACTTTGACACAACAAACAAGACCAGTTTTTCCAACAGATCCCTACTCTCGGTGATTCGTTGCCTAATTTCGGGGTTTCGCATCACACTTTTTTGAGTCATTGTGCGATCGGAAGTTCTCTCCGAAAAGTGTAATGCCTTTTGCAGTAATAGTAAATGTAAATTGTTACCTATAACCGGAATAGAAGTCTCGACCATTTTTGATGTTTTTCTCCATCTTTTCCGTTCCAAAAAGCGATCTTGAAAAACGAATTTTTTCGCATCACATCTACGACATCATCGGTGCGCATAATGTGTTGCCCTATACCTTTTTTCTCGCATCGCTCATCGTGAATGAAAAATTGGGAGAAAAAATTTGAAAAGGGGTGTTATTCAAACAAGCCCTTTTCCCTGACGGTTTGGGAAAAGAGTTTCACCTTTTCCTCTTCCATTTCCCGGATTCTCGACTTTGGCTGTATGTGTTTTTGGGAAAACCATTTTGGAATGGGCTGGTGATTTTTGAAACTTTCAGAGTCTCAAAGATTGAAATGATCTTTGTTGTGTCCATTGAGTGTCAATGTTTTTATTTGAAATATCATTGCTATTGCGGCTCTAGTAACATTACATTTGGTTTTGCACATTCCGTGGCGGCCATTTGTCAGAAATTTGTCCGAACGGTCTCATTAAAAGGCTTTCACTCAGCCTGTGGCTTTGGAAATTAAAGATTTGAATTACTATCGCTTAGGAATTCAAATTACATACCTAATACCTTTCTCAAACTATTAAACCTGTTTAGAACATTAAAATTCGTGTAATTTTATGTGCAAACCTTTTAACTTTTTTATTTTCAGGAATCACGTCGTTCTCGACAAGGCAAGAAGCGTTACTCGTGTTGCGTTCACTCGGCGATGCGCGACTGTCGGTTACACTTCCTACTATCAACATTGTTCATTGCGGTCACACGATCACAATACGCGGTGGAGCGATTTCCGGTGAGGATTTGTGGACGTTTTTTTGGTGCAACTGGTTCATTTGGGCTTTTTGATGAAAGAATCTTTTAATGGTTGTGTTGATTGAACATTTTGTGCCAGAAGCTTGACCAAATGTTGCAGTTGCTCAAAAACGTTCTATCTGGACAATCATTGAAGGATTTTGTCTCAGAAAACAGCTTTTTTAAAGCTGTCGATATAAGATAAGTTCGAAAATTAGCCTTGATATCCTTAAAACTTCAGCGATTCGCTAACTTTTGCTCCAATTCCCTTCTTTAAACGAGTAAAACAAACGTTTTCAAAAGTTTCCTAACATTGAATCCCCACTTTTCAATAAAAATGAGATGTTTTTACTTACGGCAAAAGTAAATATTTGCTTGTCATAAATTTCACACGTTATACTAAGTTTTTCACCGTCTGAGACTCAAAATTTACGACCGAAACGTGCTTTATTTGTTTACCTAGGGGTTTCAGAGGTTTTTGATCTCGAGTCAAGGCTCGAGGATCATTGATATTTTTGAAATTTGCTTTTCAAAGGTCAGAGATCAAAATTTGAATATTAGATATTCTTCAAATGTCCAAGTTTTTCTAATCCTTGCAGAACTTTGACCAATTGGTATTTTGATCTACCTGGTAAACATTTTGATCCAAATACACGATATTGAGTTTCAATCTGGTAAAAACCTCGATCGAAAAAAAGAAATCCCATATAAACTTTTGAAGTGGTAGCAGTGGTTGGACAAATTTTACCCGCCGCTTTTCTCTCGATCTTTCCTCTTTTCAGTAAAACGAATCGAGAAACTAGAATAAGTCGTGAGCAAAAAAATCCCGAGATTTAGCAAAGGAAAGTGAAGAGAGAATCTCGGGGAAAATCCTTGAAAATGCCTAAACCTAAGCGTCGGCGAGGGTTTAGTGGAGAAAAAACAGCTGGAGTCCTTCAAAGTTGTTTCAAATTTTTACAAAAAAATGAATACGGGGTCTAAACTCTTGAATTTTTTTGAATTGTAACGTTGAAAACTTTAAAAAGTTAGAACTTTTATAATAAAGGTGTTAAAAAGGTTCCATGTAAAAACTTTTAAGCCGAGGCCCCTTAAATTTGCATATTTTAAGCAAATGATTTGTTCATTCGGTATAATTTATCTCTTTTTACAGGTCTACTGGAATGCGCCGACGGAGAACTGCATACGGAAAGGCGTGCAAATACCACTGGACAAATACGGGATACTGCATAACCAGGTTGGGTTTTTTTCTTCTTGATTGAGTTAATTTAAATCCTAGGGTCAACGCTTCTTCGGAGATAACATTGTCATCTTCTACGAGTATGCATTTGGCACGTTTCCTTATTTTGAATACGGGAACGCGTCGCGACCTATGAACGGAGGATTGCCACAGGTAAACTTATTCACGAGACCGGCCAGTACTGCACCTGTTTGTTAAACCCTGGAAGTTTAGTCGATAAGTTTATCATGTCGTTCTAGGGTCATAGATCAAAGTTACATCAAAGCTAACTATCTCATTGTTATGTTTAGCTATGTGATCTCGCGCTACATCTCGACGCCGTCCAAGAGCACATTCAAATGAAAATCCCCGACGAGGCTTTCAATGGGATAGCTGTCATCGATTTCGAGGAGTGGCGGCCGTTGTGGCAGTTGAATTGGGGTCAGTTTTAAAGTAACGCAACTGTCTGAAGCTATAACAAGATGCACATAACTTAATGGTTTCGATAAAGTTTCACATTGAGTAAACGTGTCTTTATTTTCACAAGCATAAATCTTTCAATCATGGTTCAAATCATGCAATTTTTAGGCAAAAAACGCGTCTACCAGCACGAGTCGATTCGCTTGGTGAAAGAGAGGGACCCGCTCATCTCCGACAAAGCCGCCAAATTCTACGCTCAACAAGAGTTCGATGAAGCTGCGAGGTCCGTGGAAGGGAACATTGACTGATCAATTTTGCATCAATAAAAGTTGTTAAGGCTATAATAAAACCTTCAAGCCTTAGAATGCTAAACACTTCCAATATGATTTGAAAGTTATCTAAAGTGCAGCTAATAAATAAAAAATCCAGCTTAAAATGATTAAGCTGCTTTTTTTAATGATCATAAAATTTTAGAGACATTTTCTTGAAGACGATTGAGGTGGGAAGACGGATGCGGCCTTATGCGAAGTATGGTTTTGATTTTAATTAGCTTAGTTTTCTTGTAACAATAAACACTTTTACTGACTCTTTTATGGCGTTTTTATCGTTACGAAATCTGATTCTAGGAGTAGGAAGACTAGTTGTTCATTGTTAGTAATACTAACGGATAAATTTCAGATGGGGTTTCTACGGCTTCCCGTATTGCAACTATGATGCCGGGGTCGATGGGGAGAGCACCTGTTCTGCGCGCTTTCAAATGCACAATGATGAGTGGGTTTTGCATCAGGGTGTATCATAAGAAAAAACGTTTTCAAATCGAATTCCCGAAAAAGTTCTAGTGATCGCAGGTGGTCGCTTTGGTGTCAAAAGCGTTTATTTGTGCTCAAGAATTTTTTCACGTTTTTCTCTTTTTTTACCAATATCTTTATTCCCTGCACATGAAAAAATTATGGGTGCCACCGTGGCTCCCACCACTGCCACTATCACCAGCCACGGGTAGTGGTGGGAGCCATGGTGGCACCCATAATTTTTTCATGTACAGGGAATAAAGAGAAAAACGTGAAAAATTCCTGAGCACAAATAAACGCTTTTGACACCAAAGCGAGCACCTGCAACCACTAGAACTTTTTAGGGAATTCGATTTGAAAACGTTTTTTCTTATGATATATCCTGTAATTCCATGATGTACTGTAAAATTTGTGTAACTGATAAAGTTAAGTGCCGACTCTGTAAACTTTTTGTTTCAAATGAAATTTAAAAGCATCACTGGATCAAGATTTCTGCTTCAAGTACGATAGGCTTAATATTTAAGATTTGTATTCAACGTGTCTATCTAAAATGTCTCATTTCAGCTTACTCTTTGTAATGAAGGCCGGGGTGGCGCTGTTTCCGTCGATCTACTTAAGCGAGCGACGACCCAAGTTGAACTTTAGGTACATTCAAGTGGGTGTTTAGTTTTTTTATTACTGGATGTTATTCAGTCATCAAGTCATTCATCAAAGTATTATTTTGTTTAGGCAATTCTCTCAGAAAGTCGTCGAATAGCCAGTAGTGTCGATCCGCCGCTGGAGATCTACCCGTACACGAAATTCGAGTACGATCCGTACGATGAGGAGAAGATACACGAGTTCTATGGAAAGGTTGGGTTTTTGTTATTGATCAAGTTTGTACTTGTTTGGTAGGTACATTTAAGGCCCGTTTAAACAATAGATTCATAGATCTATGACAAAAAATTATTAAAATAGGCTTAATAGCAGTTACAATATTCCATTGCTCAAAGTTTAACCTAGCTGTGTGTTTTTGGATACCTGATTGTTTAAAAAGTACTAAGCTTTAACTATTTGGTTAATTCTTTATTTCCAGGGTGATTTGTGCAACTCGATAAAACAAAGTGCTGATGCGGGCGTCTCGGGCTTGATTTTGTGGAGCACATCGAAACGAATGTGGAGACCGAGATGCGAGCTGATCGCCAACTTTTTCAATCAAACGCTGGGACCGTGAGTTTTAAAGTTGTCTTTAAATTTCCTCCACTACAGCTTCTAAAAAGTTCAAAGTTCAGCCCAAGCTTAAACGATTGACTTACGGAAGATGTTAGTCCATAAATTTATAGCTTAAAGATTGCGAAATCCAATTTTAGGACAGTTCACTTGGTGGCAAAACGAATGCGCAGATGTTCAAGGAGTTTGTGCTCGAATCGGGGCCGTTGCGTTTACCAGGGACCAGTTGACCGGTAAATTATGCCTTGAAAATCTAGTTTTGCATCAAAGTTAGCAATTTAATTGTAGTAGCTCAAAGTATGCTTCAAATTAAAGTTTCTTTGTTTAGATGTACGTTCCGGGCGCGTAAGGAGATGTACAGGTGTGAATGCGACCCACAGTATGAAGGTTTGTTGAGTTGATTTTATATTCGCTAGGCAAAAGTAGCTTAAAGTTGATCTAAAGGTTTTGTTTGGCTAGCTTTCACTGCATTAAAACTTTTTTACTTTCAAAATCTAACCTTTTTATTTCCAGGGCCATTCTGCGAATATCATTCGAAGTTCCACTGGTGGTTGCTCGGCGCCGACTCGTCCTCCGCCTATCAGCCAATCGACGACTTGTGATGTTTCCCGTTTATTTTACAGATTTGTCTCCTCATTTCTCTTTTCTCAGACTTTTGAAGCTTTAAAATCGGGGAATTTTGTGCGTTCAACCGAATTGGGGTGGAATTTTAGGATTTTTAGGTTAAAATTTAATTTTTAGAACCTTAAGAAAGCTTATTTTTGGAAGAAGACTTGTCAAATCCGGTTGAACACGCAAATTTCCCGATTACCGAAGGGTTTCAATTATCCCGATGTTTTTTCTCCCTAGTGCATTAACATTAGTTGATGGATCTCACTAAAGAATAGCCCGTTTTCTTGGAAAAAGTGCAACTTTTTGAAACTTAAGCTTTAAAAATTAAATCACAAAAATTTTGTAATCATCTAAAATTAGCAGCTTTCAGAAAGTTGTCGCCTCAAAATCCCACTAGTTTTTGGGTAAAGCTCAAAAATTTCACATGAAAATCTAGTCACTTCTTGGATTTAACAAATTTGATACGCTTTAGGGAATTTTTATGAAAACTTTAGCACCGATTAGAAGTTATTGTAGATTTTGGAAGAGCTTTGCGTTGGTACTGGTGAGGTTGGGAGGGGAGCAACTTTTTTTCTTCAAAAGTGCTGTTTCTAAGGCAGTTTTTTTGCGTAGATCACGAATTTCATAGTAGGAGCTTGGGGAAATGGGTTTTAGACCGACTTTTAGAGGCTCGAAGTAGCCGCCTTTGCAGTCGTACTTCACTGTAAAAAGCACTTTTGAAGAAAAAAGTTACTCCCCAATCCCACAAGCACCTTTGCGTTTTTTGACTTATTAATCTCTTCATTCAGGTAGAATGCATTCTTCTCGGTCAATTGTTTTCTAAAAGCACCCACTTCCGAAAAACTACCATAATTCACCTGTCAATTTTTCTTTCGATCAGCCCAATTTTGGTGTCATTGACTGGGCCTTGTGATTCCTCATCGAATGTGACCAAAATTGGGCTAATCGAATGAAAAAATGACGGGAGGTAGTTTGTTTCAAATAGGTGCTTTTTGGAAAACAATTAGTCAAGAGGAATACTTTTTATTCAGGTGTGTTTTTTTTCGTTCTGTGAAATGCTGTCCTAATGATCTTTTTCTCATTTTCTTTACATCTGTGAATTAACTTTTTTTCGCTTAATAATTTTAATAATTTCCTTTTGCTATGTGTTATGGTGATTAGTAATAAATTAATCTTTCTGAGTTATTTTAGAAAGAAAAGGCTAGCGCTATTGGTTTGAAAATCATTTTCAATTGGAGGCACTTTGTTGTCTATTCGAGCTTGAGAAAATTCAGTTATAGTTAAATATTCCGATGTTCAGTTAGAGTGAGTCTTTCAGTTCTTTTTGAACTCTGAAATTCTCCGAAATTGAAGTTTTTAGCTTTTTTTAAGTAAAAAGGCTCATTTTTTAACCTGAAAGTCGTAAAGGAAATGAAATCTCACTTAATCGTCGTATGGTCGTATAATCGTATAAAATTCACTTCCTAGTGCTTTCTCTACAAAAATGATTGCAAATTTCAATGAAACCGAACTCTACCTTTAAAAGCATGCGTTCAATCCTCTTCGTTCATTTTTGAAACTCCAGATACTTCCGTAAACAACTAGTTACGAGTACCAAAGAAAGCCAAATAAAACGAAAAAAAAAGCGCCCTTAATTTCCTGGAAATTTTTATGAGATTCGTAGGAGTAAATCGTTTCGAAAAGGGAGCCAATTCTCTTGGAAACACCCAAAAATAATCGAAGTAGTTCCGTGATTTCGAGAATTTTTTTAGTTAAAATAAACCAATTAAATTGAACTATTATTTGAATTTTAACTTTGACGCCGAGTGGCTTGAAACAAGAATTATGATCTGAACTAAAATCTGATCACTTAAAATGTTCAATTTCACTTTTAACGGCTCCATCTTGTACCATCGAGTTTTAATATCTTCTTCAACTAGCAACTTCAACTTCAACTTCAACAATTTACCCACTTTTTTTTGTTATAGCATGTTATCCTTTTTCCTCGTTTTGTAAATCACTTTTTTTCTAAAGAATCAGCGTCAATTGAAAGATTTTAAGTTTAAATATTTGCTTTGCGTCTTCTGAACTTTCAAACTGAACTTTCAAACAATTGCTTTTAGTTGAAAGCTTTGAGGTAAACCAAGTTTTCTTCGCAAATGTCGAATCTGGAGGTGATTAGGGTGAAAAGAGGCTCCGTACTCCAGCAAAACCTATAACAGACCGAGAAGCGATGTTGAGAAGCGAATTGTTAACGATTCTCTTTTGAGATCGATTTCAGTCTTACAACTATTCTCTCAAAGCACCCCTAACAGCCCCCCTTTTTTTCCCCCATCTCATTCCCATCTCATTTCCTGGGGCTCTAAAATTTCCCCGACGAAAACAGCAGTCCAGAGTATCATTTTGGTTTTTTGGCTAAACTACATTTCTTAAATCGTTTTTTGAAGTGAAAATTATTTTTGTTCGAGTTTCAAATATTATACTGGAACTTGTGAACAAGTGCTTTTACTTTAAAATCAGAATACCGTAATCTTTTAGTTCAATAATTTTAACTATAATAGCTTGAGCTAGGTTACGCTTTATGAATTAACTAGCCGATAATTTATAGAACAAGTACGATTTTTATTTTTCAAAAACCCGTAGCACCGCGGACTGTTGACATCGATTTTTTTTTCACTTTCTCACATTTGAAACTCGCATCCTTTCAGCGTCATTTTTTGAGTTCATTTTTTAATTTTAAATCTTTTAAAGCTAAACGTTTAGATAACGTAACCAAAAAAATAAATAAATCAGGATTTATGATGTTATAGAATTGTTTTAGTCTGTCTTTTAATTTACAGCTGATACTTTAAATCGACTATTCGAGTCATCAATCGTTTTCGAGCTTTCGAGCATTTTCGAGCAAAGGTGAAACAAAATTTTTTCTAGGTTTCAAAATTTATGGTTGGTTTTTAAATTTTCTACCATATCTTTACATTAAAGTTTTAAGTTTATCGGCACATCGGCGCGAAATAAGGCAAAAATGCGTTTTCTATCGGATTTTTCTGTGAGTACCTTTTTTAGATGCGGAGAATTGGGCTGATTCCGAATCTGAAGGAATTTTCCAAATCCCTCTGACAGAAATTTTTTAAATTGAGTTTTAGCAGTTTTTTGGTCATTTTGTATGGGAAATTTTGTGGTACCCTGCAGTTTGGAGCTCGTAACTCGACAACGAGGGTCTAGAACCAAAAACGAAGGGATAAGCTTTATTCTAGAGACTCCTACGAACATTTTGATGCAAAAATCATCAAATTTGCTCAACTCTACTGTAATCAAAAATCTATAAAGCAAAAAAAAAGTTTCAAATCTGATATTAGAGACACTGATCCTTTTATGAGGTTAACAAAGTTGAAACATAATTCTTTCAGTTTCAGCTATGACTTGATGATTGTCATTATAATCATTCAATGATTTGATTCATTCATTCATTTAATTTGCTTTTTAAATTTGAATTAAATGTCTCAAAGGCTTTTTACACTAAAAGTTTAGCTTGAATATCGTAATTAAAATAGCTGAATCTTTATTTTTGTAGAATTTTATAGAGCATCGAACAGGGCATTTTTGTTTTTAGCTTTATTGAGGTCAAAAATCAAAATTGAAGCTTTATTGAGGTGATTTTGTGAGTTTCCATTCCCGCTATTGCTATAGTGTTTCCTGTTTGCAAAGTTGAGCAAGATTACGGCACCTTTACACTAACAAGAAGTTGAACAAATGCAAAATTTAGATCTCTTTGTAAACACTGACAAACGAACTTTCTTTCTTTCTTTCTTTCTTTCTTTCTTTCTTTCTTTCTTTCTTTCTTTCTTTCTTTCTTTCTAGTCTTGAAGAATTTGAATCAAGAGCTTTGAAGCTCAGGGTTTTTTTTGAGGTAAATTATCAGAGTTTCAATTTGTGCGACCAATTTTGCATTTTATAAATTTAAAATTTTACCTCAAATGCGTGCGTCGCAATTTGCGCACGCAATCACTTGAGTCTGAGTCTACCTTTCGAACTTTTACAACCTCAGATGATCAAGTTTTTAATAGTTTTGAATACCTCATGGGTATTTTACTGTTGGTATCCAAGCAATGACTCCATCAGTCATTCAAATAAGCTGATCTTGCAAGTGGAATGCATTGCGTTGATTTATCCTTGTACACTGATAGACTGGTGTTTTACTGTTGGTTATTTTACTGTTGGTTATTTTATTTTACTGTTGGTTTTACTGGTGTGTGTGTGTTTTTCAAATGCGAAAACCATAATGGTGAGGCTTTATTTTGAGTGAAATGAAAATTCAGCGAATTTTTGGATATTTTTGAAATTTTCGCAAAATCACTGTACTAAATTTGCAAAATTTTGATGAAACCGAGCTCAGAGTCCCTCTTGTTTATCTCTTTTATTTTAATATCTCTTTTGAAATTCCTTTACGCGTACATATTGTTGAATAATAAGAAAAGTCGAAAAGTCTCAATTTTAAAGAGATCTTTTGCCTTTTCCTTTACAAAAACTTGCTTTTAATAAACTTGTTTTTAAGAGAAATTCCAGATGAGCACACAAAGAGCCTCAATCGGTGCACCCAAATCCTATCTGCAGTGGCTGCTCAAGTTGGTGTGTTGCTTTCAAAAGGAGGTCAGGCTGGGAACACAGAAATCTCCAAAAAGTTTAATTTTTTGATCATTTTCTGGTTTCTTTATCGACCTTTAACTCCCTCTGGAGTAAAGGCGATCAAGTGCCGTGTGGTGTAATGGTTAACACACTTACCCAGTAAGCGAAAGGTCGCGGGTCGAGTCCCAGCGGTGCACGAGTTTTTGATCTACCCTAGTTCCAACTGGCGACGGAAGGATGGGCATCTGCAATGCTGGCTAAGGTCTTCATACCTAGTTTCAAGCGCAGCCCAAGCTTAAAAACGAGACGTGTGGGACCGTCTCGTCCAGAGAGGAGGGGACTTAACTCCCTCTGGAGTAATGGCGACCAAGTGCGTTGTGGTGTATTGGTTAACAGAGTTTCCCAGTAAGCGAAAGGTCTAGGGTTCGAGTTCGAAATTCCCCCCTCAAACAGTTGTCGAATAGGAAAAAAGCGTAAAACTGGGGCTTTATGGGCTTTAAACCTCGATTTGACTCTGTCTTGGAAAAGAAATAACTCAAAATGAAATGAAATGTATCTAAATTTACCTCAAATTGCGTCAGAGATGAAATCTGTCTAAAATCTACCCGTTTCAAGATTAATGTTTCAACTTTCCCGTTAACAATGGGGAATCTCTTGCGCTAATTCTTTTTCACGAATTCCTTCAATTCAATTTCAATTGTCTTTTGCATTGTATTCAATTGTTTTTGATAAAGCGATTCAATTCTAATTCTAATGTGAATTTGAAGGTTTTTCGGCGAAAATTCATTCTCAATTTTAGCAAAGTAGCCGTTGAAATTCGGGCAATCCTTTTTTATTCAGAAATTTTAATTCTTAGAGCAAGCGATTCTCTCAATCAAACTTTTGATCTTCTCAACGTTGAAATTGAACTCTTTCAGTGTCGTTTTTTCGATTTCCTTTTACAATTTTAGATCTATAAAATAAGTTAGATGTAAGTTTACTTATGATCATTTGTAGCCAAAAAAAATCTCTGAACTGCTTAAAAAAAGAAAAAGAAAATAGAAAATCGATGTTTCAAGAAAGCCAAGAAGAAATCGTAAATCTTTGCGATAATATTGACTTAATTTAAGCTTTAATTGCTGTTAGAAATCGTTAAAAATAAAAAAATTGTTAAAAATTGAAGTTTTCAAAATGAATGTTTCAACTTTGTGGATAATAAGGATTATTTTTCTAGTTAGTCATTTGGTCTTCTGTATATCCTAAAATTAACCGATTTTTTTCTAATCCCGATCTCATCCAAAGAAAATTGGTTTTAAAATTGAATAACCCATTGAATTTGAAATATTTCTTCAGAAAGACTCACCCCGACCGATTTGGCCGTTGAGCGGTCCACTTCTACCGCCACCACCACCGCCGCCAAAATGGCGAAATCGACGCGCATCTGTGGCCACAACCAGCTCACAAAAGAGTGAGTTTTAAAAAATTCAAAGATTTGTTAAGTTCAAGAAATTGAATTGAACTTGAGCTTTCAAATTTATAAGTTTTCCTTGTTGAATAATTATTACTAACCCTAGTAGCCATTTAAATTGAAACAATAACTTTTAAAGGCTTTAAGAAAGTATTAATCCTTTTATCACAGAATGTGCCTCTTGATGCTTCTTAAGATTTTTAGCCAAATAAAGTTGAACATCAATTGCAAGGCCAAAGTCACTGTAAAGTTTCAGACCGCTCAACTCGATCACCGCATGGGAGTGAGCGGATGCGAAGACATTCCACAGCAGCTCCATCAAGGAAAGCGAGCAGGGAACAACGGGAGAATTCCCGGAAAACAAGCCGATCATCGACTTCAACGAATGCCGGAATGAATCCGAATATCGAGGCCGCGCTTTCATCGTGGAAAACGGCGCAGAAATGAGACGGGGAACGAGTTTCAAAAGCACTGTACTTTAGCCAAAACTACCGTAATCCACCCGCCAATTTTCCTTTCGATGAGCTCAATTTCTATCATTGACTGAGCCGTGTGATTCCCTAATCGAATGTGATCAAGATTCGGCCGATCAACTAGAAAAGAATGGCGGGTGGAAGACGATAATTTGCCTGAAACAGTTGAGAGAAAAAAATTAGAATGTTCATAGAAACTTCAAAAATGAGTACCAAGCTTTCGTTTTAAAGTTTGTTTTAAAGCTTTGTCAATTGCCAAATCATGCCAATCATGTCAATTGCTAAATGTCAATTGTCATTGCCAAATCGGCTTTGTCTCGAATTTTTCAATATGCTCGCCTTTGATTATCATTTGACAATTCATTTCCCCCTTGTGCAAGAAAATTCAAAATTTTAAACTATCAAAAAACAATTGTTTTCCTATAGATTTGATCAAAGATTTGTATTTTTTTCAAGTTTTTTTAGAGATTTTTCTATTTGAACTTTCTGAATTCGAGAAATTTTGAATTTTGCTTTACTGTGTACATGCATAAGGTACTGTGTACTGTGTACATGTGTGCTGTGTACATGCATACGAAATGCGGATTATTTTCTTTTGTATCATTAACGGCTTTTCGTGAATTGATCATGGTACACTACTGGACAACGAAATATGATATTTGAAAAAAGATCGTCACTTTCGCACGTCTGTAACTCCCTTGCCTTTACCGTATTTCTAAATATTAATATTACCATTGTGTAGCCCTTGAAAAGAGCTTTCAGAAAATGTATAACACTAATAGTTTAAACTCAAAGACAAGGGAGTTACAGACGCGCGAAAGTGACGATCTTTTTTCAAATATCATATTTCATTGTCCAGTACTGTACATGCATAAGAAATCCGGATTTCAACATTTCAACATTTGCATAAATTTCCAACGATAGAAACCTGATATCGATGAATGTATATACCGTAAATACTGTAATAGTACCCCACCCCCATAATGACGGTGCGGAGTGTTGCGTAGTCTAGCTTTGAACGAGTTTTTACCCCACCCCAATAATGAAGATGCGGAGTGCTGCGTAGCCTAGCTTTGAACGAGCTTTTCTTGACACTGGTTTATGCTACAATGCTCTTTTAGGTACCAAAAAATAGCCCTGAATTTCAGCTATTTTTTGATACCAAAGAGGCTTTTTTTGAAAGTACGGGCGCTTTGAAAAAAGTGAAATACTAAAGAACTTTTGCGACTACGCGACGGTACGAGGGGGTGTGGGGTACTATTACAGTATTTACGGTATACTATTTGAAACTAAACTTGCCGCAAAAGTGACTCGATTCCTTTTTGTGGTCACTCGCATTTCGCCCTCGAAATTTCTTCAATGCTTCGATCAATTGAAACACGTTTTAGCCTATTTTGTAGAGGAGATTTACAACTTTCAAATACTTTATAACATTCATTGATATCAGGTCTCTATCGTTGGAGATTTATGTAAATGTTGAAATGTTGAAATCCGCATTTCTTATGCATGTACCTAATATTTCTCAAATCGCCTTTTCCGTTGGTTCTTTCAGCTTGTTTTTTGTTTCAAAAATAGCCTTATTACTAACTACTTTGTTTTCTAACAAATAAATATTTATTAGAAAACGTTAGAAAAGAAAATGTAAGAAAAAGAAAGAAGAAAAAGGAATTGGCGGCTGTTGACCGAAGGGTCGACGGTTCGATTCCCACCCTTGACATCATTTACAACTCCTTTCTTTTGCAAAAAACGCCAGATTCCGTTTCTTAGGGTTATTTTTGACGCTGATCACGAAAAACTGGTTTTTAATATAGATTTTTAAATAAAGAATTAGTGAAACGCCATTTTTACACTTTTTTTTGGGCTTGACCGAGTCCACTAAAACCTTTATAAAAGCTTTCAAACAATATAAATCAAAAAACCGTTTTCACCAGCGTTTTCCCCTTGAATCCAGCTTTCAAACAAGACTAAACACGTTTGGATTGGTTGAGTTTGTGGCCGTCTCCCAAAAAAAAACCCGACAGAACTTTTCCACCAATAGATCGTTCCTTGACCTAGCTCACGCCCACGCTATCGCCCGAAAAAGATCAACGACATTTCGAGAGTCTCTCTCGTTTCTTTGACAGCATTTTTTTTTGGGAATTCAAAGCTCGAACCCCTAAAGACCCGAAAATAATTTTCACTCTACTAGTGATCTCTGTGCAGTCGAATTCCATTTGACACCTGTTGCTCGGCAAATATCACTCGACTTTCATCTGAAAAGCGTCGAAGTTTTTGCGATGATGGATTAAGAATCACAAAATTTGATCACTTTTGCTGAGTGGAATCTCGTGGTTACAGTCTCTCAAAAAATTTGCCACTTTTTGCTAAAATGACGAGTTAAAGAGGACGTTATTTGCGTTATTTGTTCAGTTGTGTACAAATTCGATATAAAAGAGCTCCACTGTGGTCAATGAGAGGCAATTCCTCCGAAATCTTTTGGAATGTTCAAATACGTGCTCGTCATTGTTCTTCTCGTGGCCCTTATCGAGGCAAAGAAGAAACATCCGAAGTCGAGCTCATCGGAAGATCGACCTTGCCTCGGAGAACGTGGATGTCCTCGTGGATGGTCGTTTGTGCAGGAGACTGGTAGCTGTTACAAGGCGAGTTCTTTAATAAAAGAAAAAGAAATGACAAAGAAAAGTAGAAGGAATCGAATCTTCGACTTTTCCCATTCTGGCTGAGAGCTCTAGCCACGCTCTACCTAAAAGCGATTTATCAAATCCGATACTCCAGGTGGTCGTCAACATGAACGCCTTCGATTTGTGCATTTCGATGAACTCCGAGTTGGTGGCGAGTCACGATGATGTGGCCTTGTGCAAGATGAGCATCGAGACGGCCACTGGCTTCCCCATCCAACCAACCATCACATTCTAAAAGCTCTCCAATAATGATGTCCATTCAAAGACAAAGCCATCTCTTCTCCAAGATTTTAGCACGAGAAAAATTGACTCTTACATAAAAATACTGAAATTCATTTCTTGAAAGAAGGCCAGGCTCAATTGAGAGCTGAGCCTGCAAAGGACGTGCAAAGTCTGCAAAAGACTTGCAAAGCAAAGGACTCGAAACAATCACACAAGACGATCTTCATTGATCGTCAACCCGTTCTGAGAGCACTGGAAATTGTGATCCTGGATGTCGACATTAGCGTAGCGATGAGATCTCGCAAAAGTGCTAATGCTATGTTTTCCCATCACAAAACTTAAGGGGAAAAGTGTAACAGGCACGCATATAAACAGAACTGACACACAACTCCACAAAATTAGAGTAGATGTAGACGAACTTGACGCTCGACAATTCGGCACTTTGACCGAGATGAAGGTAAGTAACAAAGGTAAAGGTTAAAGCTCTTGGCTCTACAGTACACTACGATCTTCCGATCCTTTTCAATCGTCTCGTTCAATTTGCAAGAAGATTTGTACCGTGATGTTGAAATGCTGCTTTTCCCTTCTTCGATTTCCAATTTGTTTAGTGTCTCATTCCGTTTTCTCCACATTGCCAAAGTCCTTTTTATTTATGTGTTTGAAATCTTAATAAATACTGTAATAGTACCCCACCCCCATAATGACGGTGCGGAGTGTTGCGTAGTCTAGCTTTGAACGAGCTTTTCTTGACACTGGTTTATGCTACAATGCTCTTTTAGGTACCAAAAAATAGCCCTGAATTTCAGCTATTTTTTGATACTAAAGATGCATTTTTTGAAAATACGGGCGCTTTGAAAAAAATGAAATACTAAAAAACTTTTGCGACTATGCGACTGTACGAGGGAGGTGGGGTACTATTACAGTATTTACGGTAATTGAATAATAAACCACAAATTGATTCGTTGTCCCCAAAAGCTCCGTCTCACTTTCTCTGATTTGGAACTTATTGAATCAGGAAAATTTCTGCAAAAAAAAAAATTAAAGTTTTAATCCAAGCAAAAGTTGTTTAACCGCAAAACACAGTGGAAACCGTTTGAGTTTCCAAATTTCCAGGTTTCAAAATCATTCGATAAACGATAGTTTGTTGGCAATCGAAGAGCATTTTTTATTATTTATTAATTGACTGAATATCTTTATTTTCCCCATAGTTTTCATATTTACAATCATATCTGATTGTTCACCAAGGCTTTCGTGTGATTGCCGGTGGCTATCTTTCGATCGGTTCCCTTCACATACAAATCGGCACGCGAGAAAGCCATTGATCGACCTGGAAATTAGTGTAGCTTGAAATGGACTGGTTGCACTTTAGAATGCACTGTAGATTTAGAATAATATGCAAATTTTGCTCTTTAATACCGTAAAAGGACAAGAGTACGGTATGTTGTTTACTAAAGATCAATTTTTGAACAAAATCCTGACCACAAAAAAATCAGCTTACCAGCTTTGATCACCTCAATGTCCATCACCACCGTTTCGCCCAGTTTCGCGGCACCGAGAAATCTAGAAATTTCTGCTAAAAGCAACAAGGTAAGGCAGCAAGATATCAAGTTCTTTGAAAACATAAAATAGTCTAAGTCCATCCGTATCTAACTAATCTTGAAACAACCAATTTGCTCTTGGTCTAGGCTAATAAGTTTTCGAGTTCCTCTAAAAGTTTGAACCACTTGAACCCGAGTTTCAATTGATAGAATTAACAAAATGAATAGCGCCAATCGTTTCGCCGACCCGGAAAACCCCAGGATACAAATTGGCAGCTAAATATCTTCTTTTTTATGGAATCTACAATGCAAAAGAAGAAAATCCCTATGTAAATGACTGGCGAAGTGTTTGTTATGCGCCTGCGCAATCGCTCTTTATCTGGCACACCCTCTCTATAGATAGGTGTTCTCTTTTGGATTTTCTGACAAGGAAACGGTTGGAGGTGGCGGTGGAATCTCGATATGCGGTATAGCACATCTTGTACAGCTTGGAGAGACGAGGCGAATGATGTAAAAATTAGCTGCTTATAAGCATTGCAAACACACTAAAACTGGCTTACAAGTTTTTGCTAAATAGTCTTAAGGCGTTTTTAAAGGCCTGTTTGGGGTTGTTCGGCGGTCTAGTGGTTAGTGCAATGGTTTGGCAAGCAAAGGTCAGCGGTTCAATTCCCTTTAGAGTTTTTCATTTTGCTTTTCCCAAGAAATTCAAAAAGAAGTTTTTGTTGTTGGGATCTAGAAATATCAAAGATCTAGAAAGATCTAAGATTCAATATGCATGTTCTTCCTTGTTGAAAGCACTTTGATCAAGGCTGTAGACGTTATACAACGATCAATTTTTGTGTGTGCTTAGTGGAAAGATCCATTTTGTTTTCACCATTGTTTTATTCAGGAAAACGCCTTAAGACTGTATTGCAAAAACTTGTAAACCAGTTTTAGTGTGTTTACAATGCTGATAAGCAGCTAATTTCTACATCATTCGACTCGTCTTTCCAAGCTGTACAAGATGTGCTATACCGCATATCGAGATTCCACCACCACCTCCAACTGGTTCCCGTGTAAGGTGCGAGAGAGCGATGAGCGACGAAGCAGGCCTGGCCTCCCTGGGCGTCCTCAAAACCCTGAGATCGATTCCCGTCCCGAATTTGTCTTTATTTTGACCACAAATTCCGCGCTACGTTAAACCATTGCAGTTCTCAAACAGAAGTATTGCTTCTCTTTTCTTTCAGAGCTTTTTGAAACCCACGAAACGTGCAAATCCACCGAGACACCTTGTTTTTTGCCCAGCGTTCGCAGGGCGGTGTTGGTAGCTGAAAAATGGTTTTAATCAATGAAGTTTTTCAATCAAAGTTCAATCAGTTTGATGATTTTCAGTGAGATTCTTCTTGTCACACCAACCAACATCAACAAGTGTAGCAGTGCATCCACCATGAAGTGTTCCAATCGAATTCGTCAACTCTTCCGTCACATCGAATTCGACTCTCACCTTTCCCGCGTCCGCCGAAAGCACTTTCATCTGAAGTGTTTTCATGAAATGTCAGTTTTTTTTCTGATTTTCAATACAATTCTTAATTTAAATCCCCCAAAAAGAAGTGTTTTTCCAATAGACAAAGTTAGTGGTTTAGACAAAGTTTTTACTTCTTTCAAGTACAATAAAAATGTTAGATTTAGGTTTTGTTGTCTTCTAACAATTGCAAACTTTTTCCGCGACTCTGACTTGGATCCGAAGAGGCTAAACTATACAATAGATACTTTTCAACAGCCTAGAAAACGACAATAAAATAAAGAGCTTCAATTATCTTCTCGACCACAATTTGACGCCGAAACACTTCATTAGTTTGAAGTTTACTTTGTGCTCTCTCAAATCTTGCAAACACACCCCTTCTAACACACTTAATTCTTTCATTTCCCCCCTTTCAAATCATTTTTATAAGGGGAAAATTGAAGAATTAAGTGCGCCAGAAAGGAGATGCTTACGGGATTTCGAGAGAGAACAAAGTACAAGCTTTTGCAAAGGTTGGCGAAAGGAAAATAGAACTAATTTTCCAAATTTCATTTAGATTTTCTCAACTTTAAAACCCTTTCACTCACCACTCCGGCCGTTTTCATAAAAGTATTCGTTTTCCCGTATCCTTTATACAATTCGCTAAGCATTTCGACGAATTTTCGGCCAGCCATTTTCTTTCGGGAATAAAACAGAAGATAGGAGTGAAAAGAAGATAAAAAAATATGTCACTTGTCTAGAGTTTTAAGAGTTTGGACATGTAAAAAATATCGGAAAGTTTCAAAATTTGGCTCAAAAGAATCGTTTAAACAATTCTTTTACATAAAAAAAAAACTTAGTTTCAACTTCTAAAGATTTCAGCGCAACTGAGAAAAGTTAATGGGCGAGGATGTTGTATGGGAAAAGTTAATACAAAAACTTAGACAATGAGAAAGCCAATTAGAATATTTTTTTCGTTAATTAGAAAAATTTGAGCTTTTAGGGTAAAAAAAGCACTTTTTCATATGAAAATCCAACTCTGAGCAATTCTTTTATAGAAAATTGAGATTTCAACTTTTTCGACTGGGCAAAAGGAGGAAAATTAAGTAATAAATACTTCTAAAAAAGTAAAACTGTTAAAAAAATGTTCTCTTTAAGAAATATTAATTAAAAATTGTTTCTAATAAGTAAAGAATTGATTTTGAAACGCCAATTTTTGTCGGGATGTTATGTTTTTTTTGTTTTGCGTTCAGTCGGTCAACAATCGATCAATAGTGGAAAGGGGAAAACGAGATAAAAGAGAAAGAAATGAGAAAAAGAAAGAAAAGAAAAACAGAACCATTACAGGTCAAAGAAAAACAAAACAAAGCAAAACAGAAGCGATTACATCATATGAACACAAAAGAATCAGAGGAAAAAATCATTTAGAATGTTTTATGCAATCTTGAAGTTCAATGGGATTTTCCCCGAATCCCATTTTCTTTTCTGGGTCTCTAGTTTCTTGGTAATAAAAAAAAGAATAAGCAAAGGATACCAACAAATCGTTTTCAATAGCACTCAGCTAATAGCACTAATGATAAGTATCTTACTGTGACTTCAACATTACTGAGGTGAACTCTATTCGTCAACTACAAATTCACCACCAAGCAGTACAGTGCTTGAACTCTTGAACTCTTGAATTCCATTACGAGATCTTCAAATCGCCTATCCGAGTTTCACCCTTGGAGAAAGCTTTCCAGAGTCATAATTTTCCAGGAAAATTCAGCGGGAAATGTTTTCCCGTGCGCCATAATGTCGCTGGAAACAGTTACGGGAAATCCAAAAAATTCCAGCGCGGAAATTTCGTCCGCCATCATCTTTCCCGTGGGAAACTTTTCCCGAGGGAACTTTCCCGCGAGATGATGATAAAGGGACAGGAATGGGAACTATTTCCCGCGGGAAAAAACAGAACCATTACATCATATGAACAGAAGAATCATAGGAATCATGGGAACTAGAGGGAAATTTCCCGCAACCTTATGGCCTGGGCTCATGATTCACTCACAAACTTTAAAAACAAAAACAACATCAAGTGAAATGTTAGAATACTCGACCAAAATAAGAAAAGGAATTCCTGGAGTGAGAGAAAAGGAAAACAACATATTATTGGGTACAATAAGATTCTGCTACCGATACCGACACAAGCAAATCAACTGAAGCAAGCAAAACAATCAGAACATTCTGCAACATTCTGCATTCAATCAACACAAGCAAGCAAAACAATCAGAACATTCTGCAACATTCTGCATTCAATCAACACAAGCAAGCAAAACAATCAGAACATTCTGCTCGTTTTCGTCACAAGAAACAAGCTCGACTCATTGATTTTGTGAAAAATTTGTGCTTATGTAACTTTTTTTTTTATGGTGCACATGTCAACAAACTCTAGTTTACAAAGGAATCTATTGGTTGATTGAGCATTTCCAAGGGTTTTCCCTATAAAAACTCAATTCTAAAGACTTCAAAAAAACTCGTTCTTCACGAAAACCTTTCTAAGAAGTTATTTTCTAAAATGACTGATCATTCTCTCGGCACTGATTCGTTAGTTTTTCTTCTCATTTTATAAGCTATCATTAGACTTTTATAGCTCAGATTTGTATCTACAAAGATTTATAAGTTTCAAAGTATTTTTGAAAGTTCCAGTGTCCATCTGGTGAAGGAATTAGCTTGATTCGACTCATGATCAAGTACAATGCTCAATGACACATCAACAGATGTGATCGCTAACAGAAGTGTTGCATTGTGGGTCTACAAAGTTAACGATGTAGCTGAAAACACATAGTAAATAACTTGCCTAAGTGCAATGCCCAATGTGTCACATCAACCTCGATCGCTAACAGAAGTGTTACATTGTGAGTCTACAAAGTTAACGATTTAGTTGAAAACACATACAGCAGTAGTAAAAAAGTAAACAACTTGCCTAACTAATTGATAGAGAAAGAACATTTATGTCAGTTATCTTTAGAATCAGAAAGCTGGTGGCTTCAAATAACAATTAGGCGATTTGTGCGTTGAAGCTGATCTCCTATTCATCGGTCGGCTTTTGTGTGATTGCATGTAAGCACGATTGATGTGGGAATGTTTAGAAACTCTTCTTCTTCTTGTTAATTGATATAAAGTCAAATGTTTATAATAAAATTTGTTGTGAAGCAACTTTGTCAAGTGCACTCATAAAAGGCTTTATCACGATCTACCACCAGGTAAAACAATAAATCAAATGATCAAATCAAATGATTAAATCAAATCAAGTGATTAAATCAAATGATCAAATCAAATGATCAAAACAAATCAAATAATCAAATCAAATGATCAAATCAAATCAAACGATTTCTCCCTAAAAAGTCTACAAAATTAGTATCTCTTTGCAAGAAAAATGCAGTTTATTTCACAAGTTTATTTCACAATTTTCACTCAATTTTTAATAAAGCCTTTTATCGATGGGATCTCGCAAACAAAACGAGATAACTTTTGCTTGGGATCGTATTGATAGTCCCACATGTGATACTTGCACGTTGGATCATTGGAAATCTGAATGAGGACTAGTTTGTGATAAAGCAAATGGTTTAAGTACTTTTTAAAGACTTCTAGTTTTCTCTAACTTTTAAGCCATTTATTTTCTCGTTTATTTTCAACTTCTCACATAGGGAATTTTGATTTATTTCCTACAAAAACTGTCTTTGTCTAGATTGAGGCTAGACATTGACACTGTAAACTACCTAGACATTGACACTGTAAACTACAAACTCTTCTAACTTTCTTTAAATCTAACAAATTGAAATGACCTATGACTTAAAAAATAAAGAATATCAAGAGCTTTCGAATGAACTAGAGCATATCCAAAAATATGAATGCAAAAGAAAGTTACAATGGCTTGTAGCCTGGTCTAATCGCTTAGACTACGTGCGAGTACGGTCCGTTTCGTTTTGATATTTTTGAGCGTGCTCTGTTTCATTCGAAAGCTCTTGAGATTCTCTATTTTTTTGAGTTATAGATCTTGTCAATTCAGCAAATTTGAAGCAAGTTAGAAGCGTTTTTAGTGTGACATTTCGTCATTTTTGTAGTTTATAGTTTCCATGTCTAATTGAGACTACTGAAAAGCTACAGAATTGCTACAGAATTGCTGAAAAGTAAGCCGTGTTGAAAGAAGAGTCATAAGCTTACCGTCCAATAATAGTTGAAGAAAGTCATCGCTCCATAACCGACATAATCAACGGGTGTCCCGTCTGTCCATGTCCCTCCACCAATTGTCCCATTTCCGTCTAAACCGATCCACGCTTTTTGATATAAACATGGGTAGTTCTCCGGGGCAACATCGGACTGATTGAAGACATTTGAATAGACAAGATCTGGAATCTGAAATGCTTTTGAGTTCGAGTTTGAGTTTAAATAGAGAAACTAAATGCTGTTGTAGAGAAAATAAAGTTTTTGAGTTAATAGATCTATTGAAAAACAACCTAAGAGCCCTAAAAATCCCTAAAAATGCAGGTTTTCTAAAAACCTTTCTTTCTCTTTCTTTCTTTTCTTTCTCTTTCTTCCTCTTTCTTTCTCTTTCTTCCTCTTTCTTTCTCTTTCTTCCTCTTTCTTCCTCTCTCTTCATTTTCTTTCTTTCTTTTCCTTCCCTTTTTCTCTAGCTTTTCATCAGTTCCAATCTAAGCTTTAAACATTTAAAAAGAATAAAACCATGATGAAAAGCTAGAGAAAAAAGAAAGGAAAAGAAAGAAAGAAAAGGAAGAAAGAGGAAGAAAGAGAAAGAAAAGACTAACCATTGACTAACCATAAACAAAATTGTCTTCATCTTTTGAATGAATCGACACCAAATGACCGCCCATTTGTTGACAATTCAATTCAGCTGTCGGCCAATCCCATGACTGCCAAATGGTACCGTTTGGTGTTGTGTTGTTGATAAAGCTCTAAAGTCAAACTATTCAAGAAGCAAAAATAAAAAGCAAACCTGTAAATAATAGCACGAATCAGTGGCTTCAAAGTATGACCAACCATTGGGACATCCTGGGGCTAAAAAGGTATATGCGAAAAGCCATTTGAGCTAATAAAACTCAAATCATTGTCTAGAAATCTCAAATTATTTCATTATTTCATCAGAGATGTTAAAAAAACGGTCGAGTTTTACCTGGTGGTAGATCGTGACATGCTTGTACGATTAGCTCGGTGATTTGTTTTGAATCCGATGATGATGGACTTGGATAGTTTGAGATTGGACTCGCATCAATACCATCTGTTTTCAATAGTTGAAATCTTTTTAGAAACGATCAAAAAACTAGTAATCTTTGTTTAAAGTGATTTACCATTTTGATGTACAGCCACTGTTCTCGCTTGTCCCTTGTAGGCTTTTCCGGCAGTGTTGATCAAATTTTGAGAGCTAAATGTGAAATTTGTAGCTTGATAGTTTTTTGGTTAAACCTAGCTGTGTAGAGGATGATGATCACTCTTTTGCTCGAGTAATCATTCAGTTTATTGATCGCTCTGAAATGAAGATTAATATAGAAAAGTTTTTGGAATTGATTCCAGAGAGTGCTTTGAACCCAATTCACCTATCCGAACTCTTACTTTGCCAAGAGAAAGAAGAGAAAGAAGAGAAAGAAGAGAAAGAAGAGAAAGAAGAGAAAGAAGAGAAAGAAGAGAAAGAAGAGAAAGAAGAGAAAGAAGAGAAAGAAGAGAAAGAAGAGAAAGAAGAGAAAGAAGAGAAAGAAGAGGAGAAAGAAGAGAAAGAAGAGAAGAAGAGAAAGAAGAGAAAGAAGAGAAAGAAGAGAAAGAAGAGAAAGAAGAGAAAGAAGAGAAAGAAGATAAAGAAGAGAATACAAGGAAGAAAGATAGGAAGAAAGAAAAGAAGAAAGAAAGAAAGGAAGAAAGGAAGAAAGAAAGAAAGAAAGAAAGAAAGGCAGATAGACAGATAGGAAGAAAGAAAGAAAGAAAGAGCTAATTTCACTAGAAGAACCGATCTAAATCCCTTAGAAAACACTCTTAACACAAAGAAACTGTACTTTCAATTTTATAAAATGTGGCAAAAGCGTTAAAACACAAAAACTTTAACAATGACTGACCCATCAATATATTCTTTTCCACCATAAGTAAACGCTCCATCCAATTCATTCAAAAATTCTGGATACGAAACGAAAAAGTATTTAGGAATCTCTTGATCTTGTTTCGTATCTCCGTAGACCCAAAAATTAGCTGAAAAAAGACTCGACGACGAGGCAAATGCTGAGTTTGCAGCTGTTTGAATCGAGAGAATTTCTCCGCGGAATGATGTCTAAAATTTAAATTTAAAAATGAAAGCCAAACATTACCTAGTAGTTGTTCGAGTTGTTTACTTTTCTAAAGTTTATACACAAAATTGCTCCTCTTACTCACCCATAAATCCGAGCCATCAATGACAAAAAGAGCTTGACATGAGTCAACGCCTAAACATGTTTTTGGATTAAAAATTTGAATAAATTCAAACTACCTAAGCTGCTTTTTACAAGAAAAACTAAAAGAATAGTAAATATTTGAAACATTATTGATGAAAGAAGAAAGCCAAGGTCAGAGTTTAATGGGAGAATTGATTCTGAAGGGATTCTGGAGAGATAAGAAAGGCTTTTCAGGGAAGAGTGGAGTTTGAGAAGGCTAGAAACACTTGAAAACTGTTCAACTTTTAAATGAACATTTTACTTTCAAAGATTAACTAAACAAAGCTCAGTGGACTTAAGCTACAGAGCTGGTTACAGAGCTGGCTACAGAGCTGGTTACAGAGCTGGCTACAGAGCTGGTTACAGAGCTGGTTACAGAGCTGGCTACAGAGCTGGTTACAGAGCTGGTTACAGAGCTGGTTACAGAGCTGGCTACAGAGCTGGTTACAGAGCTGAGTTTAAAATTCAAAAGAAAATTGGGAACAAAGATGAGAAATTTCAGATTGGAGAAGAGTATAAAAATTTCTTGGAACTCGACAAGATTTTGAAACTCAAAAAGTGTTGACTTGTTGCCAAAAATTGGGGAAAACTATTGTCGATTTATAATAGACATCAGCAGCTCTCTCTAGGAAGCAGAAATGGTGGCCAAATGACATTGAATGCAGGTATACAACACCGATTCCGAATCTGCTTCCCCTTTCTCCTATGAAGTATTCTTTCAAAAGTTGCAAAGCGTACAAAGTTTTGTATGGGATTTCACAAATCACATCTCGACTTTATTAAGCGGATTTCCCAGTCTTTAATCGATGTTCGCTGAGGCCGAGGCTCAAAGTTTGTGTTGTTTTTCTCTGATCACCTTTATAACAATATAGAAAGAAAGATTTCGATTGAATACATCATCTGATCTTATTAGTCATCAATGAACTTATAACGAATCGAAAAATAATCTTTCTTAAACATTTCAAATGAAAAATGTTCCAAAGTTCTTCCTCAAAACACTTTTAGTCTTTCCGCGTTTAATTCTTGGGTATTTTTCTTGGTCTCTTGACCATTCACTCAAAGGTTTTTGTTGATACAAAAATTGCAAAATTGACGGATGTATGCTCATGAAAAAGATTCGCATTATATATTTAATATTATATATTTTTGTTAATCTTTAAAGCCCACTGAATAGCACAACATTTATTGTCTCTTTACTATTGAATGGCTTTTCAGCTCGCTGTTTATGCGGGGTTTTTTTAAGGATTTAGTTAAGGCTCTTTTCAGGTATTAATAGATTGTAAACATGTAATAAAACAAATTCGAACATTTCGGCTCTTGTTTTTACCATTAGCATCATTGCTTTGATGATTATTTTCTTTGGGACACCGAAAGTGATGAGAGAATAAGGGAAGCTCTTGATTAGACATCAAATAGAGATTGCAAAACTCTTAAAAACAAAATAATTGAGATTTTTTTGATGATTTCTATAGGTACAAAGGTAAAAGTTAAAAATTTATTGTGATTTACTATATTTTCATATTATATTAAATATATTTACAATATGTTTGAAGCTGAGCGTGAAACATGACATCATTGCTTCGTTAATGACATCGTTGCTTCGTTGATGACATCATTGCTTCGTTAATGACATCGTTGCTTTGTTGATGACATCGTTGCTTCGTTGATGACATCATTGCTTTGTTGATGACATCGTTGCTTCGTTGATGACATCACTGCTTCTTTGATGACATCATTTGTTTGCATCATTGCCTTGTTTTCTTTGGAACATCGAAAGTGATGAGAGAAACTGCAGTGACAGTGTAGCTTAGCAAAGAAGCATCTTTTAAACAAAATCTTGCTCGTCAACAAGTCTACAATCAAATCTCATCTCAAAATCCCTCTAAATTTTCTCAATCGTTCTCGATCTGGGCATATCATCGACTTTCGAGTCATTGTTTTGTCTACCATTGATGGGTGGAATGCCTTTAGGATGGTCGAGTCATATAAGGACAATTTCTACAGTGAATATGACGGTTTATTATAGTGATTTAGTTAAAGATTCAAAAGTTTCTAGATTTTTGATTTCTTTTGTGTATTTGGCGTGCTAGGTTCGGATGGGGGTCATTAACTTGAAAGTTTATTCATGTTTGTTCTCAAAGTTGAAACTTAATTGTGCCATGTGTTTAAATTGTATTACTTTTGCCCTAATCCAGCCGCCATCTTTCATTCGATCAGCCCAATTAGTCACATTCGATGAGGGAATCCAAAGGCTCAGTCAATGATACCAAAATTGAGCTGATCGAAAGGAAAACTGGTGCGTGGTTTCGTGGAGTTTTCCTAAATTGGGTGAACTTTAGAAATTTGTTGATACCGTATTTTCTCTAATAGTAGTGCACCGTGAGCGTCGCCTAAATTGCTCGAAATCACAAAAGCCGCTTATCAGAACCTATCGATGTGGGGTCGGAAAATGTAGCTGACGATGAGATCTTGTGGGGCATTTGAGTGTTGAGCTTCTGCAAAAGCTTGGAAACCGTAAAATAGTCACCAACTCGGCTCGCCAGGGTGCACTACTATTAGGGCAAATAGGTAAGCGCTCAATTGAGTTTTACAATTGTTAAAGATTCAACGATAGTTCTTGATTGCACTCTGTATACAGGTTGACAAATCCAAATAATTTAATAAGTATCTTAGAGTACACAAAAGAACTTCACTTACATGCAAATCGAAAACTTAAATGGAAATTCTTTCAGTCAAGCATTGCAATCAGTTTTATCACTGTGCCACTTTCCATCACTGTGCCACTTTCCATCACTGTGCCACTTTCCATCACTGTGCCACTTTCCATCACTGTGCCACTTTCCATCACTGTGCCACTTTCCATCACTGTGCCACTTTCCATCACTGTGCCACTTTCCATCACTGTGCCACTTTCCATCACTGTGCCACTTTCCATCAGTATGATCATCGTTCATTTCGATTGGAGAGCAATGGAAGGTTTGTACTTTTTAGAGAAATCTTTACTAGTAAAAAAAAATTGCTAACAAGTTTTCTAATCTCATTTATAAAACTTGTTTCTAATCGCTTTCCGTTACAGGTTTCAACTTGGTGGTTCCATATCATCGTGGCATTAGTCATTCTCTTCCTATTCCAATTCTCTATCCACCTTAACGAAAATTTGTCAAACAACAATTAAACAAAATTTTTCCAAATAAGCTTTCTTTTAGCAATTCTTTATCACAAACATTAGAATACTTCTGAAGAGGATTGACAAGAGCAAAGTGAGGTTGAAAACAAGTAGAAATCATAACTATTGTCATCACTCGACCAATTGGCTCTCTTGCATTGACCACAATTGTACCCAAGCCTTGAGGCTTGGGTACAATTGTGGACCTCTTAAAATATTTATTGTTCAACTAAAAATTTGTATGTTATTTGAAGGAGAAATTAAAATGGAAAGTATTTTGTAAGCATCGTCGTCGTTTAAACACTGGGATTCTTTCTGAAAGTTGAGTTGATCATTGAGACAATTCGGTGAAAGGTAATAACTTTGAAAAAACTACAACGTAAAAAGCTTCAAACTTCAGAAAAAATCAAAGAACTTGAAGATTTTTAGGAGACAAAAGGCTACGATATAAGATCATAAAACTTTTAGCTGCAAATCAAGAGAACTTATCGATGCCTTTTATGTCAAATAAATAGCATTCTCTTTAGATTTCACTTGAAAGCCTTCTTGGTGAAGAGTTGTGATTATTCATTGATTATTTCACGCACAGAAAAAGTCAATCATTTCTTTTTTTATATCCAGAATCTTGTTGTTTTCTTGAAGTTGAATAATTAATTGAAAACGAGTAGAAATCATAAAATAAATAGCATTCTCTTCGTTGAAATCCTCGTTGAAAGCGAGTAGAAACGAGTAGAAATCATAAAAGTTTCCTTTTTTGAACTAAAATTTCGTCTTTGTCTATTCAAAAGATCAAAACGCAGAAAATAAACGCGATCGATTCCTCTCGAATTTCAAAGTACTTCAAGCAAATCGATTCTTTAAAAAGATCAACGTGATTTGTGTGATTTGAATTGTGAACGCATTTTATTTCCATCATCTATCTCTTCAAAAGCTTCTACCGTAAATACTGTAATAATACCCCACGCCCATAATGACGGTACGGAGTGTTGTGTAGTGTAGCTTTGAACAAGTTTTTCTTGATACTGGTTTATGCTACAATGCGCGCTTAGGTATCAAAAAATAGCTGAAATTCAGGGCTATTTTTTGATACCTAAAAGATCATTGTAGCCTAAACCAGTGTCGAGAAAAACTCGTTCAAAGCTAGACTACACAACACTCCGCACCGTCATTATGAGGTACTATTACAGTATTCACGGTATGTATTCTAATTGTCTGATTTTAATACATTTTGATTATTGAGAAGAGTACAAAAAGGAATGCTTTGAGAAATTTTTGCAAGTAAAAAGTACAATAAAAAGTCGAAGTGTTAATTTGAATTGATCACTAATTATTATAAAAGCTAGCTTTATCTTTTCTTTTATCTGAACAGATAAAAGAAAAGTACAGATAAAGCTACAGTAATCAAAAAAGAAAACTGTCAAAATTTGACTGAAAATTTGCGAATTCTTAAATAAACAAAAGCTTTTACAGCGTCGTATTCAGTTTTTTGCATTTTTTTTTTGAAACACTGACCAGTTTCTTTTGTCCATTTTTTTTCCGTTTTCTTTTATCAGATTTCACTTGCCTTCTTGGTGAAGAGTTTTGATTATTCACGCACAGATAAAGTCAATCATTTCTTTTTTTTATATCCACAATCTTGTTGTTTTCTTGAAGCTAAAGAATTCAATGGTTTAACTTCAGAACAAATCAAAGAACTTGAAGATTTTTAGGAGACAAAAGGCTAATATAAGATAATAAAACTTTTAGTTGCAAATCAAGAGAACGTATCGATTCCTTTTATTTCAAATAAATAGCATTCTCTTCAGATTTCACTTGAAAGCTTTCTTCGTGAAGAGTTTTGATTATTCATTGATTATTCACGCACAGATAAAGTCAATCATTTCTTTTAAAGATTTTATTTATTAAAGTCAATCATTTCTTTGTTTTATATCCAGAATCTTGTTGTTTTCTTGAAGTTGAATAATTAATTGAAAACGAGTAGAAATCATAAAATAAATAGCATTCTCTTCGTTGAAATCCTCGTTGAAAGCGAGTAGAAACGAGTAGAAATCATAAAAGTTTCCTTTTTTGAACTAAAATCTCGTCTTTGTCTATTCGAAAGATCAAAATGCAGAAAATAAATCATTTCTTTTTTTATATCCACAATCTTGTTGTTTTCTTGAAGCTAAAGAATTCAATGGTTTAATGGTTTTCTTTTGAAAGTAGAAACGATTTTTTTTCACCTCTATAAGCTTAGAATTTGCTTTTACTAAGATTTTCTTATCAGAATTACAGTCTGGTCAAATAGGCTGGTCAAATGACATTAGCCATAGACCTATCGACGCAGAATTACACGCTAAATCCGAATCTGCTTTCCGTTTTTGCTAAACGGCACTCTGTCAAAAGTTATAAGCATGTGAAAGTTTTGCATGAAATTTTAAAGATCATCCCTCGTGTTTATCAGCAGATTTCCCAGAGACATTAAAGAGCAGCGGTAGCCGAGTGGTAGTCAACTAGAATACGAGGCAGAATCTCGTGTTCCAGCCCGCAGTTAACTGTTTTTTTTTTCTGCTTTTTCTAGAGGTAATTGCTCTCCAATTCAAAGACAAGTTTGAAATTACTTGTTGATTACCAGAAAAACTACCAGAACTTTTGACAGAGTGCCGTTTAGCAAAAACGGAAAGCAGATTCGGATTTAGCGTGCAATTCTGCGTCGATAGGTCTATGGCTAATGTCATTTGATCAGCCTATTCCAGTTTTCCCTTTCCCTTGTAAGTTTTAATATTTCTGAACATTTTACTTCCATAAGCGCTCCTTTTCTTCCAGAAATTTCCCCTCAAAGTTGTAATTTTCGTTGTTTGTCTGCTGTTATGCGCTTTTCGACACTTTAAAGAAAAAGGGAAAAGAAAGGAAAAGACAAAAAGCCGAACTGATAATCGGGCATTACTAGGCTGAAAGAAATGAGAAGAATGGTGAAGAATTTGGCTTTACAAAGCTTTCCCCAGTATTGTTTTTGGTTTTTATATCGAGTTACTGTAGATTTTTGAATTACTTGCCTAATACGTAGTGAGTCTCAACAATTCCAAGTTTGTAAGATCCGTTCCAAGTGGTTCAGGCTTAATTTGAGCACTATAAAAGCACGTTGTTTTGTTTTATTTTTATTTTTTCTATGGGCGATCTACGAAACGATGACTAGATGATGATCTACCGTAAATACTGTAATAGTACCCCACCCCCATAATGACGGTGCGGAGTGTTGCGTGG